ATACATATATATATATATATATATATATATATATATATAAGAAAAGATGGGATTAACCCTCTGGCTCATATGAATATATGAGTCCAACAGCCCAGATTGATTCTGGGTCGATCTGACGATCATGGATGTCTGATAATGCTTGAATTTTATTCTTTTTTTTACAAATCCAAATCATTTGAAATTTTAGGTGTGCGTTCTTCTTATCAAGGCGCACCTAATAAAAATATAAAAACAATTATTCGATAAAAAATGACCAAAAATACCCCCTAAACTTTTTGGGGGTATTTTAGTCAATTTATTTTATGCAAAATATTTTTTTTGATATTTTTTGAAGATTCACCTATTTTTTATAAACAGACATCTAAAATTTTAAGTGATTTGGATTTGTAGAAAAAAAATTAAAATGTAAATACTACCGGACATTCGTAATCATCAGATCAGCCCATAATCAATCTGGAATGTTGGGCTCATATATTCATATGAGCTAGCGGGCTAATCTCATATTTTCTTTATATGTATATATAATGTAAAATCATGACTACCAAGACACACGTGCACACAAGGAAGAGAGAGAGAGATCAATTACCAATTGAAACATCCAACTCTTGTTAGCATATATAGAGCATAATATTTGTGGAATAATAATTGCCTCAAGCTGAGATCCCTGTCATGTGACTTTAAACATCCCAATTGCTTGAAGTGAGTTATTGGTCAAGTGATTGGTAAGAAAATATCAAAAAAACAAGTGCGGAGAGGGAGAGTAATCAAGTTCTCACACTGCAAATCAGATGAGTAGATTACATTATAATGCCTAGAACCATTGGGATTGTATACTAGGAGACTATTTACCTGTAGTATGTACCAAGGGTTAAGGCTCTAAATTGAACCAAATACACAGCCAATAAAACCATAAGAAAAAAAGTGTGGTTTTTATAAGGTGTTAGTCTTAAATATTCAAAGTAAGGCGCACCATCAAAATCTATTGATCGATGTAATTTAGGTGCCAAAAACGCTTATGACGGTTTGGAAATCTATTTTGACCACTAATTATAAAATTTAAAGTTTCAAAAATAGTGTATATCGAATAGATCTATAAATACTTAAAATGTAGAAAATAAAAAATTAAGATAATGTATTAAAAGATAAAATATTTTTTAAGGGGTCTGTAATATATATAAAAAAAGTTTATATAAGGTTGCAATCTTAAAATGTAGAATTATAGGTGCACCTCAAAAATCTATTGGAAATGTTGTTTTAATATTATTGGAAATGTTGTTTTAATATTGAAAAACCTTTTAATTGATCATCTCACCATCAAGATGTGCGAATATGAAAAAAAAACATTTTTGAGTCCCATAAATAGCGCATCTTGCAACACATTATCTAGACCGTTCATTTTCAAGATTTTCATACGTTTATAGATCTACTTGATTTTAACCATTTTGGGAGTTTAGAATTTTCTAATTAGATATGAAAATAGATTTTAAGACAATCCTAGGATTTTTTTGCAACGAAATTAAATCTTATGATAAAATTTGAAGGTGTGCCTTAATTGGAGATTGATTAAAGTTGCCACCTTACAGAAACCATACCCAATATATAAATATGAACAATTGAATTTACCAGCTATTAGCGATTACATCTTCAAGTTGAGATGATCAAGTGGAGATATTTTTTCCGCAGCAAAACAACTTTTATCGTAGGTTTTTGAAATGTACCTTACTTCCTAAAGTATAAGGTTGGTGTCTCATATAATATTTTCCTTTAGAAAAAAAAAAAATTTCAGATAAAACAGCTACCTTCAAAACCATCTTAAGACGTAACGTCCTTGGATGCAACAGATGCGGCTTTAACAAAAACACGTACCCAAGCAATGGAAGAGAGAATTATATACGTATCTGATATATTTTAGGTTATTACATATAAAAAAGTTTCCTTTATTACATATTTTTTCATTTTTTACCTTTCATAACGTAATTTTTTAAAAATAACGACTTTATCTTTTTTCTGGAAATCTATTTTGACCACTAATTATCTATCTTGCCTTCAGCATTTGGATGCTTCATCTTATTTACTTTAACGTTAACATTCTACCGGCACAATGTGGCTATTTTCGAATGTCCATCATCCGAAATTATTTTTGGATGATAACATCCAAAATGTGAATGTTCAACATCCGAAAATATGCTTACGAAATTCCAAAAAGTTTCTTTCGCAAGCACATTTTCAAACATTCAATATCCGAAAATGTGCTATTTTCGGATGTCCAACATCCGAAATTATTTTCGGATATCCAACATCCAAAATTATTTTCGAATGTTCAACATTCGAAAATAAAACTGCAAACATTAAACTTTTGACTATTTTCGAATGTTGAACATCCGAAAAACCCTTCAATTCGGATATTGAACACTCTAAAAAAAATAAAATCATCTTTTTAAAAAAATTGTGTTATAAAAAGTTAAAAACAGACAGGTATTTTATAACGGAAACTGTACAGTATATGCGTAATAATGCAAAATATAACAGATATATGTGTAATTTTTCTTTAAAAAAAAAAAACAAAAAAATATCGAGGCATTGGCACTGTATAAATTAACAAATAGATAGGAGTAAATAAGATGAAGCATCCAAATGCTGAAGGCAAGACCTAAAGAGTCTCACTCAAAGCCTGTCAAGGAAAAAGGCAAGACCTATAGAGTCTCACTCAAAGCCTGTCGAGGAAAATCAGTACGATAGTTCCATGCACATTTACGGAGAAGGAAAAAAAAGCAAATACAAATACAGGGATTTAAGAAACACTGGGTCAGCACAAAATCCCCCCATCCGACCTGGGAATTGGTCAGTGTACATATAAGAAAATAGCCAAGTTTAGAAGGGAACCGACGGTTCTGCATAGTAAAACAACAAATTTATATAGTAAAACGGTGATCCAAACTGCCGATTCACCGATCCAAACTAGTTTTTGACTAGTTCGTCTTTTCATGTGTTTTTTCACCGGTTCATTGTTTTTTCCACACAATAAAACGGCAAGACTGCCGATTCACTAATCCAAACCAATTTTTGGGGTGCCTGATTGAATCACCAATCCATTTTTTAAATCACTCATTTATATCATTTCACATGCGATCTCCTTTCACTATTTCTAAGGGGAAATGAAGATTTCTTCACCGTCCTCTTTCAAAGTCGACACGTGTCCTGCTCGACCCCCCCTCGTAGCTTTCCCTCATTGCAGCACCAGCACTGGCCTTCATGGTACCGCCACCCCCGATTTTGTCCATAGCCTTCTTCCCTTTCTTCACCTCTGTCAAGAACTGATCCAAACCAAAAGGATCAGCCTCTTCTGCTTCTTTCTCAAACTCAACAGGCCTATCTCTAGGCCCCGTCTTCTCGCTAGCCCCTTCAAACCCTCTGTCAGGCCTGAATCGATCAGTCTTCAAAACCTTTTCAAGCTGCTCATCCGCTCCTCCATACATATCAGAATCAGCATCTTTCTTGGGCCTATAGAGAGTAGAGAGCGTAGATTGAGCAGTGAACAAACCCTTATCATATATGTTGTATTGGTCATCGGTTGCAAACCCAGACTCCATACCCTTCTCTTGGTTGAAAAGCCTTTGGTCATACATGACTTCACCCGACCTGCCAGTAGTGGCCATACCAAGAGCAACCTTCTCACTAATATCCCTATCCCTATCCCTCGTTATCTTGCTCTTCTTACCCATGGCTACTTCCTTTGCCTCCAATCTCCTCTCCCTCTCTCTCTCCCGCCTTCTTTCCTCACGAATCGCTTCCCGCTTCAGCCTCTCTTCTCTCCCCTCCTTTGTCTCTCTAATATTTTCTTTTACCCTATCGAAATCTCCCCTTCTCTCACCTCCATTAAAAGATGGGGTGACCTCCTCGGCCCCATCGATCGCACCTTTATCTGAGGCGGCAACTACAGGCCCTGCCCCAGTCCTCTCTGACCTTGCTTTTTGAGCAAGAGCACGTAACTCTTGCTCCTTCCTATTCTTCTCTTTGAGCATGAGCTCCCTTTGTATCTTAGACCTCATCTCTACAGCTTCTCGAGCCTTTTGCTCTGCAACATACAAGGCCTCTGAGAGTTTTGCAAAGTTATCATTGATCTGAACCTCTTGGAGCCCTCGCCCATCAGCAGCAAGACGCTTGTCTAAAGGGATCGTGTACCCTTTTGGGTTCTTCCAATTAGAGATACATGGTGGGATTTTCCAGTCTTGTTGGTCTTTCACTGTAACAGGACGAGGTGGTGAATGCATAACAGGAACAGGGGGCGAACCCAAGGCTTTAGGCACCCTCTTGTGCTTGAATTTTGGGGGCTCGAGTGGGTCAACAGGCATGTCGACCATTCGAATAATCCTCTCTTTTGCACCTGAATTGAATGCAGCTGATTGTTGTGACGGTTTATATTTGATGAACGTGGCATCGGTGGATTGTTGGGGAACATTCTTTGGTTGGGCAGCACTCAAACGAACATTCACTATCTTCTCCAAAGCTTCCTTTGTTCTCTGTGTTGTATTTGCTATTTCTTCTTCTTCTTCTTCATCCTTCTTTTCCTCATCATTCATCAACTTTGGGAGCAAGTCTTTGTGTTGCGAATAGACAATCTTGGATGCATTCTCATTTTGTTTGACTATGGCATCAAACGCAACATTACCATGTGCATCTACAGTGAGGGGAAGGATTTTTGAGTCTCTCTTCTCTTCTTTTCGGCCCATACCAAGTGGATACTGGGCGATGTGGATCTCAGGAAAGGCCCCACCATCTCCAAAATCTTCAGGTTTTCGAGGAACAAAACCAGCTCGTTTCCCATAAGGAGGGATGGGTTTGGCTTTGGAAGCTGAATTAATACTGGATTTTGCAGGGTCAATGAAGCGATCTTTGAACCATGGGTCTGATGAGAAGTCATAGACACCAGTGGTTGTCGACTTTGGATGGGGAAGAAGTTCCTTCAAGGTTGCCATACGAAACAACGAAACTTACCAACCAAGAAGAATAACAAAGGGGATCAAATACAACTGCAAAAACAGAAGCAGAAACCGTAAATATTATCAGAAAAGCTTCGTAATTGTTTTTTTTGATGAATCATAATGTAAACATTTGTAAATGAAATTTGCAGAAACCATTAGTTCAAAACTAAGATACTCCTGTAACAGGTATATTAAACAAAGTAGTACAATTGGGAGAAAAAGTAGAAGACGTTATTATTCATTTTATTTATTTATTTATTCATCAAAAGCCTTGAATTATTTCAAAACCAGGATATTTAATATAAATGCTAAGAGAAACTTTAGATTATATACATATCGGAAAATTTGGAGGAAAAAGCAAAGTGTATTAGAGAGGCTTCATGGGATTCCACAACTTAATCTATTGATGCACTTTATCATACCAGCACTAGTACCAGACCTGAAACTCCATAAGATTTCCAGGAAAGATTTCATAGAAATGATAATAGATCACATGCTAAGCATCAAAATGATGTATTTTGGTCTTCTATCCATATCTGCTGGAAGCGAGGCTGAGGTATGCGATTTGCTAATTGGTTTGCGCAATCCAAAACCAGTGTGGATGGAATGGGTGGTAGGAGAATCAAATAATATTATTGCTCAAGCACCGAAAGATTCAATACTGCAATGGAAACTAGTAAACAATATTCTACATGATTTTTTCAATCCTCAGCAACCTATATGTATCTATTCATCACTCTAAAGGAAACCAATTTAGTAGATTACCACCTGGCACATGATAGTGTCCAGAAATCCTCCCAAAAGAGTTTCAACTTTGTAGTTTGGTAGATGCTCATGCATAGAAGCCATTTTGTGAATATACACCTATACACGACTTAAATATATAAAAGAAATTTCTGTTAACTATCACAGGAAAAAAAGGAATGATTTTATAAGAAGATTTAAGATAACAAATCAATTTTGTGAATACAGAACTAGTAACGACTTAAAATTTTAACATATTAATGAAAATTTTATTAACAATCAACAGAAAAATAAATGATTTTATAAGAAGATTTGAGATAACAAATAAACCTCCCAGTTCCTAACCCTAGCCCCCAGAACAATGGGTAAATAGAAAAATAGTAATGATTTGATAAATAAAAACATATAGGAAAAAAAACTCCCAACATATTCGGAAATTATCTTCCATATTTAGGTGTTCTGGAGGAAACCATGAAAACATTAATAAAAGCCACAAACATATTGGAAAAAAGAAACGAACATATTCGAAAATCTATCTTCCATATTATGGATTCTAGACAAAACCATGAAAAACATAAAAACCCAAAACTCCATAAATAAATCTTAGTAGAAAATCCAAAATCGCAACGGCAAATTACCATCTATTCAAGATAAACTTTAATGTATTAGCCATTACTAAAAAAAAGTTGGCATTTCTGCTACACCTAGAAAAATACTTAAAACAATCCTGAATCCATGTACACAAGGATCCATTTTTTTCTGTTAATTTTTTCTTTTACGAACATAAACCCCGATCTCAGGGACCAAATCCCTAACCAGAAAAAAGAAACTCTAATTTCACTGTTACTACAAGAGTAAGATATCTGCACACAAATACTTATCAAAACTAAGATCAAATCACGAATATCTTAAGCGTAGTGGAGAAAATAAAAACCAGAACATGATTATATTCAGGCAAGTTCTACTTCTTTCCATAACTGATCCTCTTAAAAGATAAAGCGTAAAAAATCAGTCCTTTCAAAACGAAATCCAGGATAACGTCTACAGAAGGAAAACCTGACTTCCCATTGCACCTAATTTGATAACCTAGGGCAAGAACCACATAATTTAAAAGGAAACTTAGGGTTTTTAAGAAAATTTCAACGAATTAGGGTCAAAACCCATTCAAAAAAAGAGAGAGGCCAGGGTTTAAGGGAACTTACTCGACGGATTTGAGGTGCCCCAATGGAAAAGAGAAACGCTAGGGTTTTCAGGCACCTACTCGAGAGGATTTGACGTCTGAGGCTAAGAGCACGGAGCCAAAAAGGTGTTAGCGTCTTCAAAGATGAAAGTAAAATATAACAATGTAATCCACTACTGTTCCCAGGTTGTTTATCGCCGTCCATTAGTGTATTGGATGGCGAGAAAGGAAGAACATCCTGCCAATCGGACGGCCATAGTGTTATTTCGATCCTCTCAGATGTGGAATTACTAATCAACTCTTTTAGAAAAGAGAAATTTATGATGTCCGTTATTACAATTCCATCCCTACCCTCTTAAACTTTTAATTTGATTTCATACCTCTTTTTTATTTTTATTTTTCCAAAATACCCTTCAAATTCAACCACTCCGAAAATAAGTCATGAATTTTTTTTTTTTTGAAAAATATATCTTTATTCTTATTTTTAAATTTTATTTCTCAATAGAATTATCAAGATAGATTTTGACTCATAAAATTTTTAAGTTTTATATATTTTAATTTTAACCTCATAAATCAACTTTATCCCCTTTAAATTTATTTTTTTATACCAAACAAATATAAAAAAAACATATCATTTCTAAACACAATCATGTCTCTCATGTTTTCCCCTAAATCTCTGTTTACTTATTTTCCCACTCTTTCTCCCCCCGTATTTCTCACTCACTATCTCCTCCCGTTAGAGAGATAAAGAGGGTGAATGTTAGAGAGAGAAATTTGAAGAAAATATATCATGTAAAAAGAAGAAGGGCTTAGAATGAGCATGTCTTTTTTATATTTATTATGGTTAAAAAAATAGTTAAAAGTGGATAAAGTTAATTATAAGATTAGGAGATGAATCTTTGAGTATATTGAGATATGAAAACAAAAAATAAATAGTACAAAGATATTTTTCCAATTTTTTTTACACTTACTTTAGATCTTCTTAACTTTGTTCCTTTGAAGATTTGAACTTGATTTTGATTAACGTCTTAAAAAATTAAAGTCAAGATTTTCATTACCACTTGAGTTCGGACATTTAAGTTAGAGTTAAGTTCGGACATTTAAGATCTAGAGTTAAGACTTTCTAACTTGACTTTAGATATAGAATATCCAAAATCATGTATTCTTTTACCACTTTGAATTTCAAGGTTCAAAGTATAGGTAGTAATCCAGGAAGTAATAAAATATAGGCATGCCAAAACATCGGCAACAAATAAGATTTATTTAAAAAATATGGACCACCAAAAAATAAGGTAAACTATAGAATCGTGAATATTTCGGATTTGGTTAAAAAAAGTGTAGTGAAAAATAGGATATGCAAAGATGTATATATATAAACTTTGATTTGCAACTACTATATATATATATATTAAAGCCAATAAACAATAATTTATAGCATTAGAGTAATACTTAACAATGTTTTGTTGAAATTTTCACTAAATCTAGCAATAATGCTTTCTCTGTTGTTACATCACAAAACATATCATAAATTTATTGAGAGAGCACAATATGAAACAACAACAACAATAATAAACACAAGAACTAATTAGCAAATAACATGAATTATGAACCAAGATATAAGATTATTTTTAAAAGAAAAAAAACATAAAACACCCTCAATATAGGATTGCAGCTACTTAAAACAAAATGCTAAGACCCAAATATGTAAAATAGTTGTCTATCTAAAATGCTATATTATATATACCAATAAAATAAAAAAAAATAAAAAATAAAAAATAAAAAAAAATAAAAAAAAATAAAAAATAGAAATAAATCAAACTTCTCTATGCATAAAAAAATAACAAAATGCTTAACTCGCACTGAAGAATTCCTAGGTACTTAAATCTTTAGTATAATTGAATCTTTCTCTTGCTCTTTATAAGGACACTTTGATTTAAAGAAAAGAAAAGGATTTTTATAGGTTACTCGTTATCTAATTTTGTCTATTATTTTAAGATATACGATTGTTTTAATTATTTTTTTAAGAATATATTGCTTGTATTTTTTTGTACACCTTTTTTAAGAGAACTCATAAGTGAAATTTTTAATGGATTTTTTTGTTAAATCAAGATTGGTAATTTATTCCCAAGGAAGTCTTTGAAGATTTGAAGAAGGCCATAACCTGTGAGCCCGTTGTGGCTCCGCGACTATGTAGTCCCATTTGAGGTGCACTCGGATGCCTCGGACTTTGCTATTGGTTGGGTGTTGGTGCAATTGCAATTGGGGCACCCCTTAGTCTTGCTAACGTAGATTCACTTTGTCCCTTAGCGTAGTCTATATCCTAAACGAACGCTTCCTCTGTCCCAGCAAGAAAACATATGCGCTACCGCACAATGGCTTTCGCGCTAGCACGCTATTAATGTACTCATCTTTAAACCAAATTCAATCATATTAAGTTAATGAAGAAACAAAGTTCTTGGGAAAAAGTTTTTCTGAAAAGTTTTTTTGGAAAAAGATAAAATACGAATTTATATTGGTTCCAATAAAAACACATATTTTTTTGAAGATCTTTTGAAAAATTCAGAGTTTTAAATGTATTTAAAAAAATCAAAAGACTTTTAAAAAATCGTATTTTCAATCGACACTTGCTAAGTATGCTCGATAGTGATTGTATTTTGAAAATAATGAAAAAAGTAAGAAAAATAAGTACAAATCCAAAATACAAAAAAATCTAGAAAAAACTCTAATAATGGATATATAAGAGGGTAGTAAAACGGATTTCTCTTAAAAAAAGTATATATGAAAGTTTAGTGTAATAAAATTCCAAAGGGTTTACGAATTGGGCTTGGGATCGAGTGGTTCACCACCGGCGTTTTGCCACCCTATGTCTCAAGTTCGACTCCTACGTCTGAACCACCCGCAAAAAACGAAAAATCAAAATAAGGATAGGGACGAGGGGTTTTGGACGGCATGAGCGTTTGCCTACGGCTGCAACCTTTTTTGCCGATGAAAAGATATGAACTCAAAATGCTGACACCGCATACACAGGATCCTTCGGCCAACGATTTGGACTCGACACCGCATACACAGGATCCTTCTGCCAACGCATTCACACTATTTACTTCTGCGTGGGAGTAGCATAAACGAAAAATCTGGTCACACCGAAAAAAACCTGTTCACTGAGAAATTGGAAAGGTTGACCGGCAGCAAGGAAACTGGGCCTAGGGGGCAATGGACCGGACCAAACCCATGCCCATCGGGTATACCCGACACGGGTCTGGGTATTGGTCAAAGTTTCGAACCCACGGGTAGGGTTTGGATCCAATAAAGGATACCTGAGAATTTTTAGTTTACTCAAAGGCCAAAGCCGCAATCCTAAAATCGTCTCAATACTTTTCGTATTCCTTTAGTCCTCCAAACGGTTTGTTGGATGCATAACTCTCTCTGGATCTCGAATGTCTTTTTCTATCTCTAATCGCCCATCCTTCAAAAATTAGTTCTCTATCCACCATTGGAGGCTACAAAAAAATAAGCTCATAATGAGGGTGGCAATAGACCCGACCAGACCCAAGACCCGAGACCCGACGCGTATGGGTATGGGTCTAACTTTCGGACGAGTCGGGTCCGGGTCTAGGTCCAAAACTTGGACCCAAATATATTCGAGTTTGGGTCCAGCTAGACCCGACCCATTGCCGCCCCCACTAGACTTTAGAAAGAGGAGACCTCACAACCATTCTAAGTTCTAGTCGCTTCTTTTCGTAATTCATTTGGACGAAACCTGTACAGGTCCCCATGCAAAAATTGCTATTTTCAACCATTTAATTTAAATGGACGACTGACATAGCGTATAGACAAATATAATAGCTTAGCCTATCATGCTTATTTAGATTTTTCTACAAATCATTTTATATGAGCCTATCATGCTTATTTAGATTTTTCTACAAATCATTTTATATGAAATCTTATGAGACATGCACACTCCTTATAGGGACGCACCTAACAAAAAAGATTTCTTATAAAATAGAATGACCAACATGTGCCTATAAGTTGCATAGCATTTTGGTTAACTTTTTTTTATCGAAAATATTTTCTCTTATTTCTATTAAGCATGCTTCTCCTATCAAAGAACAAATCCATAAAGAAAGAGAGAGTTTCAAACTATTCCATTAAAAGTTCACTTTCTATTATTTTCTCAACCTGTTCTCTCGTTACTGAGTTTTCTCAACTGATTCTCTCGTTACTGAGTTTATTTTATTCGAAAAGATATGATGAATCTTGGTTCATTGAGCTCGAAGGAACCTCAAATATATGAATACACAAATAAGAACCTAACAAACATGAATACAACATGCATGCATAAAAGACTCCTCTCCTACATGTATCATCCCCATCGATTGTCTCCTTTCATATCTGAAAGATCTGCCACCAATCTTATAGCTAAAATGAATCTCCCTCTGCGTTTCATCAACTCAAATAGACAATATCAATTACATTTCAAGCCAGTCCAAACTAGCTTCTTCTTCCACAACATGCACCTGAAGCCCACGAAGAGATTGCAGCTCGATCATTTCCCATTGATTTGCAATCTCCTCATCGCATATCACTTTCTTCAGACCCCTTAGCTCTGCAACTGAACCAGGCAGCCTCCTAATTTGTGAGCACCGGCTCATATTAATCTTCTCCAACACACTTAGACCATGCAGAGCATTAGGCAACCTAACAATGCTCAAACACTGGGATATATCAAGCAATTTCAAGTTCGAAAGCCTGGTTATTGATCTAGGAAGTTCACTCAATCTTGTACAAGCATGCAAATTCAATACCTCTAAGTATTTCAAGCCACCCACTTCTTCTGGTAACTTACATAGTTCATGGCAATTGGTGATTGAGAGTTTATTGAGATGGGTTATATTGCAAACCCAAGAAGGAAAATCTCTGAGATCACCAAAGTAATCCATTTCAATCTCTTTTAGCTTTGGAAATATAGTGGAGATATAGTCCATTTCAATTTCCTTTGACTCAGGAGATTTAAGGGGTTTACAGTCCATTTGGATATCTTTTGACACAGGAGATTTGGTGCGTTCATAGTCCATAGCATTCTCTTTCAGCTCAGAGAACTGATTGGAAACATTTGGATCAGAACAAGACATGGATTGGTTGAGCTCACAGAATAACAAACATAGTTTTTGCAGGCTCTTCAATGGCTGCATATTCATGTGAAAGGAAGGGATTATTATCCTCTCTAACCTGATCCTCTTGAGATGGGGAAGAGATTCAAGTGGTGACAAGCCCGTTACTTTGGCCAGACAGGTGTCATGGTTTGTGATGGATAGAAATTTCAGATTCTCCATAGTCTTGATAAATTGAGGTATACAATAATTTGCAGAAGAGAAGTTCAAGATCAGAGCCTCAGTTCTAGGGAATCGCATATCATACCCATCTGACTCACTCATGTTGCCTGCACATGGAAGACATCATTTTATGTGAAAGAACTTTGTGAATTAGAAAAAGAAGAAACAAGAAAACAATATGAAAGATGTGAACCAACTTGTGTAGATGGAAACAATTTGGGCATCAAAAGGTTGATCTTTATGTTCTATCCAGCTCTCGGGAAGGCAGCCTTCTCTTTTTTCCATGACCAATCTCTTCTTCTGATTTATGTTACTGTCATGGTTAACATGGATGGCCAATTCTCTGAGTAGATCATGTTGAATGACAAAAAGCCCACTAAAGCTGCCATCGTCTTCCCCAGCTTCTTTCCTAGTAAATATAGTTCCAATTATTGCAGAAGAATTTGAATACAACCATGAGCAAATTTAGTCTTGTTGACTTAGTCATCTAAAGTACAGTTTTCATAGTGTTTTTTTAATAAAACAATATACTTAATAAACTATTTTTCAAGCCTTTTTCCTGATAATGTCTTATGACCTATTCAAGTAAGATAAATAGACAGAAACAAATATGGCTGAAACAGTGAAACACCCTCTGATTAACCAGAAAATCATGTATATCTATTTTCCAAAGAAGTTCTATTGGCAGAATACCAAAATAATAATCGCCTTGTATCTCAACAACAGGTCTTGACCAAAGATGTATGAATAAGTACAAATCGAAGGAAAGAATCCACATCGTTAGCATATCAATTTTGATAGAAAAAGGAGCTTCACTTTTCAGTCAAACTAATCCAAGTTTCTATACAAGGTCGAAATAACAAAATTTCTCCTTAATATCATGAATGACAATTGAAAAAGAAGTCATGCATTCCTCAAGGTCCTAAATGTCAATCAAAGGGGTTTTGCCTCTACGCATCCCACACCAAAGACTCCCAGAGTAGTAGAAGGTACACACCAGAAGCTCCCAGTCATTCCAAGTTGAACATAAGGTGACTTCAGGGTTAGGCGTATATTTTTACATTCCACCTAAAAGCACAAATTGTCTAGGAAGTTTGTCCTTCCTTGAGGATACAATCCAAATTATTACTAGGCCACCTCAAATAGTAGTTTTTGTAGAGAACGTATCACGATGCAGTGTGATTAATCACCTCTGAAAAACGGGGTTCATTAACACAAACTGCTGCACCTACTTGCTAATGTTGAGACAATCTGAGTAGATTCATAGGTTTCATAAGATTGACCAAGGTTAGATGATATGCCTGGAAATGTTTCTGCCTCATGTAAGTAAATAGTGATTCCCTCCAAAATGAACAGGTTCATGAGAGGCTCCAACCAAAAGAAATTTTAATGCCTAGAATATTTTATGAGTATATTCATTCACATCATTGCCCAGTCTACATGTTGTGGAAGAGTTGATGCTAGACTCAATGCGTTTATATAGGTTTAACCTATAGTAGCAATGAAAAGAATCAGTATACATTCCAACAAAATCTCTCTTAATCTATGTTGCTCTCTTTTTTGTTCACTACCTTCAATTTGGTCCTCCATTCTTCGTCCAAGTGGTCTGGCTGCTGTCAAATTACAGAACTTAACTAGAAATATCAGAACAAGCTTCAGTAGTAAACCTTCTCGATGAACTCTTCGTCAGAAAATTGGACATTGATAAAAAGGACACTAGTACACTCTCACTATTTCAATAAAAGGAAATCACTTACTGCAGCATACAATGAACCAACCTCTCAACAGTGAGGATTTTACAGGTGATTGCACTGTAGTTGACCTTCTCATTTGGTCGGCCACACCATGAAAATCTTGATCTGTGTTTGTCTCATCCAATGATGCATTATCCAAACTTTAACTTATATAGTGTCCCTTCACTATATAAGACTAAAGGAAAATGTATCCATATACTTTGCAGGCTGAAACCTGTTAATTTGCCTCTCCCATGTTTTGTGCACACCTCATCATATTCTTATGCATGATTTTAGCCCTCATTAGTACTAGGGTTGCCATATCAGGCCTATGGGAGTACAACAACATGCATACTAGATTTTGATATTAGTGTTAAAAAGAGCTTTCTTTGAGCCTAAATTTTTCTTGCACCAGGGTTGGAGGTTTCTGCTCTACACATTCCACATCATTAAACCACAATTCTAGCGATCATAATTTGATATGAGTACAACACAGACTGAACACAATTTGGTACTTATGTTATATACAAATCAAGTTCCAATAATACTAAGGGAACTGAGTTCTAACGGGTATGTAAATGAAGGTTATTCCTCAAGTTTTGCAAGAATGAGGTAAACACTGGATGAAAAGTTAATAAACAAAGAGCCAATAGTAGATCTACACATATTTCTTTACTACATAAAAGTTAGTCATAAAGAAACGAAAATAATTCCCACCCACAAAGTAGGCATGACATACCTTGTATTTTCTACCAATGATATAAGAGTTCGTCTTGAGAGTTCAAGTAGTGCAACATAGGCTTCATCTTCATCCATGCCACGAAGTTCCACCCACATGTCTATAAGTGAAGCTGCAGGAATTCTTTTATCTTCAGGGAAGGAACCCAAGTCTAGAAAGCAATCCTTGAGAGGTTTATTCAAGGGTGTCAAACTCGTGGAAAGGCAATGTAGTAATTCCTCATGGGAGGCAAAGATGGAGCTTCCTTTTGACAACTTACACTCAGTGATCTTCCACTTTTGTGCAGGTTCATATCTCAAAGAGTGCCCAATTACTTTCAGAGCCAATGGCAAGCCCTTGCAATATTTCACTATCTACAATTAAATGACATTTAATTATATTGAAATAAGAACAAGACCATTGAAGTGAAGATAAATTTACTAATAAATCTTTCAGATTCTCAAAATTTTCAAGAATGTTTTTTTCACCTATTCAAATAATTCATGATCAAAACTATTTCAAATATCAAATGCACCCATATGCTACTCGGACCATACAAAACAAGCAAAGTTTATGCTACTCTTGGGAGTTGATAGACATTGGGAACAGCTAGATGTACAACGTCTACTATTCCTATCACATTCTAGACATGAACATTGTAGTGTTCAGCTGTTGAGCACTTCATCTCCTACATATTAAGAGGTCAATAAAAGGAAGGAGTTCAAAGAATGAAAAAGAACAAGAAAAAATAGGACTTATGAGGATTTAAACAAGAGATGTTTGATCTTTGTCATTGATAAACGATATCATAGATATCCCAACCTTGTTGCATTGTCTGAATATGAACAAGGAAAATAACAATACTGAACTTGTTCATCATGGTTTAATTTTTCTAAGTAGGAATAACAAAATAAATTATTTTTTATAGATGTCCCTTAAATTAATGTCAGGTTCATAATTTCTTATGATACATTTGTTCAGTCAGAAGTTTCTAGTTACATCAATGTAACCCACTCTGAGAATCACCCCGTCCAAAATCTAGAAATTCATAAAAAGTATACCACACAATATCAATGATGCCATAACCTGCAAACAAATATGTTTCTCCTTATATAAGCAGACAAATATGCTAATTGTTATATTTTCATTGCATATAGATTACCTTCCAAACTAGATCCTCATCTATTCTCTGTGGGTTGGTTATGTTAGAGAAAGCCGAGTGACGAAAGAGAGACATTGCATCTTTGTCCTTAAGCAGCCCCAATTCATATTTGGAATCAAATGATCGAAGAACATTTCGCGACGTTACCAGTGTTTTACATCCTTTAGTCTTGTTAAATAGCAGGTCCTCAAGGACTGTATCAGACCAAACATCATCAAGCACCACTAAGATGGGTTCTGGCTCCTTCTTAGTTAGAATGTATAATAGTTGCCTCCTTGCATCTTCAACATTTCGGAAGTCTGGTTTTCGACTGGTTAGTTGCTCATATAATCCACTCAGAATGCTCAATACATCGGGTGAGTTTGAAACGATAAAGAAGAATATATTGTTTTTGAATCGACCTGTCAAACCGGATATATAACACTGTTAGGATAAGGTTGGTTAAGTCCAATTCGTTTATTAGTAGCTTAACCCAAATAGAAAAGAGAAAAATCATATTACAAAATAGAATTTCATCAGTCAGGCGGGGCAAGGTATGGAAGAACTGAATTCTTCTTCATTTTTCTTACGGGCATGTCATTGCAAACTAAGGAGAGAAATTGGCTCATGGAAGTCTTGAGATTTTAAATAGATTTGGCATATAAAGGTGAAATCTCTTAGGTTCATTATTTTTTTTTTCATAATTAATTAGTTTGTCTGGTTTTTAATATCTGAGGTCATACAAAAAAGACATCTTTAATATTAACAACAAAAAGGCATCTTTAATATTACCAACTTACCCAGCGCATCATCGAAAATGAGGGGAAAAAGAAGGAACTGGAGAAAAAATCATCAGCGCATCATCGAAAAGGAAGCAGCATGTCGATATTTCCATTAATAGAGTTAAATAAGAAAACAAGTACATTAAAGCAAAGTCAACTGAAAAAACAAAAAGAAAGAGAAAAAAAGGAATTCAAGAACCATACCTTTCACATCCTCCTCCCTACAGAACATTGAGGCCAATGTTGTTTTACCATAGCCACCTTGAGCACAAAGGCCGAGAACAGACATCTCATCTGAAAAGAACTTTGCCTTGAGCTCACGTAAAGAATCACTCAAGCCAACAGGAAGATCGGGTAGTCCAGGAAGAGCACAGGAAGACTCGCTTGCAATACCCAGCCGCCCAGCAAATAACCTTATTAGGTCCTTTGTATTGGTCCTAATATATTTCGTGTCCAAATTTGTATCAGCAGCCAGATTCAGATTAAAGAATCTGACAAGATACTCATCAAGCTGAATTAACTGCTTTGCACAACGATATATCTTAAACAACTCCCAAAATTGAAGTTTTGTACACTTGTGTACCAACACCATACCACTTTCTAGTTGGCTCTTCAACTCTACAAAATCAGCTGGTTGGCTATCAGTTAGTTGCAACCGTAACTGGTCAATTGCTTTGAGTTTTGGAATAAGGTGTTGCAAAGTGGATTTCAGCTTTTCACAATGAGATTTGCAGTCTTTAACCATATTTTTAGCATCTAGTAAAGCTCTCAGTAATTCACCCGCTATGGCACCTATAGCTGCTCCACTGAATAAATCCATTGACATTAACTCAACACCAAGCAATGGGAATTGTAAACTCTGTTGGCACTGCATATCATACCGCATCAGGGGTGACAAGGTATGTTGAAAGAGGGAAGTGCAAATTAAAAACTAATCTTAAGAAAAATGAATGATCAACACTAATCTTAAAATACTGAATCAGCTGATATTAGATCTACAAAGTGTATGCTAATTGTACAATGTATTAATCAAATGCACATATACTATTTCCTCAGTTAAAATAGAACTCAAATTTAGTCGCAATCACAACTTAAATGAATGATCTACACCAATCTTAAAATAATGAATCCTACATCTATCACAAGTTAAAATAGGAACTCAAAATTTGGTGGCAATCGCACTCTTCCTGCATCTATCATACATAAAAATGACCAGTTGACTACCTTGAAAAAGTACTCAATAAAACCATAGTACAAGTGAATTCAGCAACAAAATGTTTCCAAATAAGCAATGAGAGTGCACAGAAATTTTTTTTTTTTTCTTTTTTGTTTAATTCCAACCGGTAATTGTTAATTTGTAATTTGAATTGGTAATTTTTATTTTTAAGAAATGTTGAAAGCAGACAAGTAGGGAACAGTCAGAGTAAATCTTTCCATGACTATAAACCCAAAAAAAGAACGAGAAAATAACAGCTTTCATGCAACTAATAAAACCAAAAGAAAAGGGGAAGAAAAGAAAAACAGCTTTCATACAACTTCACAATTTAGAGAGAGAGAGACCCAACAAAGTCTTGAAGCAATAAGCAAACGACATAAAGGTAGCTAACTGATCATAAGGTGAAATTGTGCTTGACAATTGAATGGAACCAGAATACCAATTCTTCAAATTCAAAGGCCCATCCCTAATAATATCTTAAACTTTAGCACCCAATTCCAAGAACTCCTTAGAAACCCAAAAAAAAAAAGTCCTGTAAAATGAGGATACATATTCACCGAAAATTCAATAGAACAACAGAACCCAATTCTCAAATATCCGAACTCTCTAATTTTTTATCCGAAAAGGTACATGGAATAATCAGAAAAGCTTTACATACCTTTAGTTAGATAACGAATTGATGAAGCTACTCGTTTTCCAGTACTCCTTCACTGAGAGAAAGACAGTAAATTCTAATTGCCCAGTTTCAGAGTTCAGCTCCTCCCATGTTAGAGAGAGAAGAGACACAGAGTGAAGACACAAGGATCATGAAGAGATAATTTAGAGACAGAGACGATAGCTGAGTTAAGGAACGTGAGTTGGTGGAAGAACGGACTGCGAAGTTTAAACTTAAAAAGTTTTGAAGTAACGGCGTCAGGGATATTTCCAATTTCTTGTCAATTGTGTGGTTTGTATAGGGCCGAGGCTCTAAACAATAGTAGTAAAGCGCATCTTCAAATAGTATTGAAAGAAGATGTTTAAATATTGAAAATCTTTGTGATGGCATGAAGATTTATTTTTATTTTTAATTATAAAATTTAAAATTTTAACAACAATGTAGATCGAGTAGATCTATGAACATTTGAAAATCTTGAAAATTGACGGTCCGAAAATACATTATAAGATGTATTATTTTTGAGACTTGAAATCCATTTTTTCTCATGTTTATACATATTGAGGTCGAGGTGATCAATTTGAGGATTTTAGAGTTTGCAAAAGGATCTATTTTAATGATCTTTTGATATGCGCCCTAAATTGATTGTTTAGAACCTCGGTTTTTAATAATCTTTTTCCTTGTGGAAAACGCGTTATCAAAGAAAGGAGCCCTGCCTAGTATGATGCTAGTAGTATCGCCACCCTTATTTTTGGTGAGAACCCTATGGATGGATGACCTGATAGCAAGTTGATTCAAAATCGGTTGAGTTATGTTACTGGCTTAAAATCAAAGGGATATTGGATTGGTTTTAGAAAGAGCGATTAGGCCTGGTGCTCGCCCTGGCCCAGCTGAGTAGGCCAAATGTTTAAAAATAACAAATAATAAAATGTACTTAAAAAATAAGAAAATATCTTTAATATATGTGGTTAAAAAGGTAGCGAAAAAATAAATTATGAAAAAATCAATTTGTGGGGGCACTTCAAAAATAATCCAAAATAAGAAAAATGTACGTCAAAATATTTTCCAATCTTTATTATGATTTTTTATTTTTAATTTTTTAAAATTCTTGAATTGGACACCCAACTTGGGAATACTTGGGACCTTCAAGGTGGCAAGCTTGAGTTATTTGGGCAAGTCCAAACTGGCTCGTCCAAGTAATCAAACACTGGTTTGGGTTGTACAGTCTACATTTTGTTTGGTTTTCATTTTTTATAACAAACTTCAGAGGATTGGCAAACTAGCTCGACCAAATCTGAATCACATTTGAGCTAGTGGATGACCAGCTCAACCCACCAGTTTGAGTTCTAGAATACTTCATCATACCAGAGTGAAATGCAATTTACAAATATTGTTCTAAGCATTATCTTCACCGTCCCATCGTGGAAGCAAGATGTCTCTTTTTTTTTTTTTGAACATTACCACACGACTTTTATTAACTATAGACCAATGAAGTTACAAGGGAATGAAATACATAAGGGTACATCACACGAAATTGGTAATCACAAATAAGGATTGATAGGTACCTCCATTGGCTAAAGAATCAGCTTCAGCATTGGCGTCACAGTAACAATGGAGTATTTCAATATCAAGTGATTGAAGAATGTCACCAATTTCATGAAGCAAGATGTCTCTCCCCTGTTAGAATACCATAGGGCCACTATAAGTCTGCCAAATGTTCACAACACATACTTGCGAGATTGTGCACGTGTTTGATTAGTGGAATTTGAGACTTTTGGCATTACAACACTTTTCTGCTGTTAAGCGGGAAGTGCTATGTTGTTTTGGAAGCCGGGACTTTCACCAAATCAACAATGAAATTTGGAAATTGCGACTTTCATATCCCTACTCATGCTTGGAAGTAAAATATTCCATACTATAGCACGAAAGTCGCAACTATTGATATTGGTCGAAGATAACGTTTCTAGCAATCAAACACGCCTTTTGCTATTAACACGTCCAAGGGAGAATTGAGTTCCAAGGTTAAGATAAAAGGGAACTCAACCAAGAAGATTTCAAAAGGGGTTTGTAGATAAAAGTGACATTTTAAACAAATGGATTTAAGAAGAGAACAAATGAAAAAAATCACAAATAAACAACTAAAGTAGGAAGATGCAAGTAAACATGAGTAAATAATCTAACTACTAGATGTAAGAAAAATAAGAAATAAAAAAGGATGAAGACAAAAGAATAAAGCTAATCTAAACATGCATAACATAGGATGAAAGAGAGAGATAATACCATAAAGATACGGGCATGGTTACGAAGAAGGAAAAGATGAGATCCTCATCAACAAGGCATAGAGATATAAATATGAAATGCAAATAAAGATAATAATTTAACATGAAAAGAAACAAAATGGAAGAGAGGAGGGAAGAAAACTAATATTAATAAATAACATGCAATGAGAGCAATAAAACCAAATATAAAAAAGAAATAAGAGGATATGATATAAGAAAGAGGGTTAAGATGAAAGAAATAGAGAGGAATAAGGAGTGGTACATTAAAAAATGGGAAAAGTGGTTAAGCACAAATTATTAACAAAAGATAATAAGAAGATGAGAAAAAAAAGATGTAACTAAAAGAGAATGGGGATGGCTAGCCTATTGAACAAAATATAAGAAAGAAAAAGACAAAATAAATATAAAAGAATGGGGAATGAGAGGAGTGAGGAAGATGAGATTCAAACCATAAGGTCAAGGGAAAAGAAAATAGGTTAAAGTAAGATACCCCTAATTAAGATGGAAGAGCATAATAACGAAGAACCAATCAAACATTCAATTAGAACACATGAGAGATAGGAGAGATCTACATTATTACATGAATAAGAAAGAGGGAAGGAGATTGGACACAATCAATCAAGGAAATAAATGAAGCAAGGTATGAAAATACTATTACCAAACGAGAAGATGAAAGGTTAGGGTGAGGGGAGAGAATCTATGATATAAAATGAAGGAAACAAGCACGAGACATAAATATAACTAACCAATAAGAATATTTTCTATAAAAAGAAATGAGATAACTATTTTATAAAAAAGAAAATGATGGAGAAAGAGATCTATACCATTATTACTAGTAATAAAGAGAGGAAGAGAAATAAACACAAAAATCTTAACTAGAAAATAAATGTTCTCAAGAAAGGAATAGAGATTGCTTTAACGAGGAGGGTGAGAGATAAAAAGGGTTTGTTGAGAAAAGGAGATTTGGTTCATTAAACAAAGGAATAAGGAAGAGTAATAAATACACTAAAACAAAGGAAATAAATACAAACTAGCAAAAAAAAAGATGATCATGTAAAGAGAGGATAAAGAAAGAAAGGAGAAGATCAAACATAACTAACTATACATATTAAAGACTACATTTAATGAGAAAACAGGGGAATAGATCATAAATAGGGGAAGATAGAGAAAAAACATATATAAAAGTAGCTAAAAGAAGAGTAAATGCAAAGATTCAAAGAGGGAAAAAAGTGAAATCAAATCATGAAATAAAGAAATAAGAAAGTCCTAACTAAGAAAATAAACAATAATAAAACCAATCGAAAAAGAAGAAAACAACATCTAGGCCAGGTCCACAGGCCTGAGGCCTAGAGTTTGGCATTGATTTAGATAGTAAAGTTTCACAATCAACCCGAACTTTCTCAGTTCTTAATGGGGCAAATAGAAGTAGGAAGAAAGGGGCCCAAATGATCTGATTATCCGGACCGTCTTCGGTTTGAAGTGCAAGGAGTTTGTGTTTGTAGTTTTGAATTGAAAGGTTTGGTAGTATGGGGATTTGCTCAAAGGGGCTCTTCTCTCAAGCTCATGCTTAGACTTAAGATCAAGAGATTTTTTGGCATATTCTAGGCACAAGATCAAGAAAACTTGGAGTTTTTTCCTAAGGTAAAACAGGCTTTTTATAGGCGAAAATGAACCCATGTCAGCCTGTATCTAGTTTTGTACGACTTTTTGGGTCATCAGAGCTTCGACCCTATTTGGACTAGCATTGGTTGGAATGACACCATGTCATTAATGCTGTAATAATGACAGTCAGTAGATATTAATTGCTCATTATGTACGACTTGTTAGATTCCGACGCCATAGGCAATGGCGTCCGTGGCATTCTGACTGCCTTCAAGCATAATTCAGGACATGTGTCGTGTTCTGGTACCTCTGATTTGATCATTCGCATTTTGAATCGATTCCAATTAGCACTGACAACATTCCGACTGTCGCCGGATACCATTTGTCCAACAGTCTTGGTTGTACATTCGTCTTATCATCAACCAACAAAAAATCGACAACCTCACTCCGTACTGACAGCTGACATGTCAGTACGGGCATGCCATATCGGTGGGTACGGACTGATATATCTGCTCGTCACTTCAGTCACATCGGCTAGGCTATGTCCCGCCTACTGAAGGTCTTAAGACCTGGCGCCGGTTGAAATGGTGTTGGCGACATTGGCACTGCCGCCAGGGCTTTTGATCCTGTTTCATATTGAAAATGGGGGTCCGGGACATAACACCATTTGGAATGGCATTGGTGCCAGGCCTTTGGTGTCCCGGGTCCCCCATGCTATGACTTCAGTGCTTTTAATATCTTGTTGTTAGATGTTTGGTCGGGGCTTAGGTCCCTGTTGAGGTAACATTAGTGCCTTTCGTCTTGAATACTTCATAGTCAGGCCACTTTGGGTCTACCTCACCTTGTTCAGCCTCTTGACGCCCTTGGACCTTCTGGAGCAATTAGGGTTTGGTGGAAGCTAGGTTTATGGAGAAGGGTCATGGTGGGGTGAATGGTTTAAAGTACCCGGGTAGGGGTCATGGTGGGGTGAATGATTTAAAGTACCCGGGTAGGGGGTCATGGTGGGGTGAACGGTTTAAAATACCTAGGTAGTTTGCTTGGGATATTTCAACCTATCAATAATCTTTCTAGTCGAGATTGGGGTGTCTACACCATGTGCCCAACGGGACATTTATTTATTTTTCTACATATCATCTTTATATGAAATTTGTGAGACCTGCACGCTCCTTATAGGGTCCTTATAGGGACACACCTAACAAAAAATGATTTCTCATCAATAAAATAAACAACACATGCCTATGAGTTGCATAGCATTTTAGTCGATTTATTTCAGGAAAAAATTTATATAAAAGTGTGAGGCTCTAAACAATCCATTTAGGGCCGACCTAAAAAATTTCACTAGAAGAGGTTGTTTTGATGCCCCTGAGAAAAAAATAGATTTCAAGTTTTGGAAATAGTACATCTTGTAATCTATTTTTGGAAATCTATTTTCAAGATTTTTAAGTTTTCATAGATATGCTCGATCTACACTATTTTTTAATGTTTAAATTTTATAATTAGAGATGAAAATATATTTTAAAGCTATCATAAAGATTTCTAATATTGAAACCATATTTCTCGACAATATTTGAAGGTGGGCTTTACTTTGATTGTTTACAGCCTCGGCTCTATACAAACTGCACTCTATTTTTTTTATCGAAAATAATTTTCTCTTATTTCTATTTAGCCTGCTTCTCCTATCAAAGATCAAATACTTAGACAGAGACAGAGAGAGAGAGAGTGAGAGGAGACTTCCAATCCGAACTCGTGTTATTCCATTAAGAATTCACTTTCTATTATTTTCTCAACTGATTATCTGGTTCCCGTGTTTATTTTATCCGAGAAGATATAATGACTTTTGGTTCGATGAGCTCTTTAAACAACACATGAATACATATTTACTTGGAACCTCAAGTATATGAATACAACACAAATAAGAACCTCACAAACATGAATACAACATGCATACATAAAAGACTCCTCTCCTACAAGTATCATCGCCATTAATTGTCTCCTTTCATATCTGAAAGATCTGCCACCAATCTTATAGCTAAAATGACTCTTATCTCTGCGCATCATCCTTGCGAACTCAAAAAGACAATGTCAACTACCTTTCAAGCCAGTCCAGTGTAGCCTCTTCTTCCACAACACGCACATGAAGTCCACTAAGAGATTGCAGCTTGATCTCTTCCCATTGATTTGCAATCTCCTCATCGCATATCACATTCTTAAGACCCCTTAGCTCTGCAACTGAACCAGGCAGCCTCCTAATTTGCGAGCACCGGCTCATGTCAATCTTTTCCAACCCACTTAGACCATGCAGATCATTAGGCAACCCAACAATGTTCAAACACTCGGATATATCAAGCAATTTCAAGCTTGAAAGCCTGGTTATTGATCTAGGAAGTTCACTCAATCTTGTACAAGCATGCAAACTCAATACCTCTAAGTATCTCAAGCCACCCACTTCTTCTGGTAAGTTACATAGATCATGGCAATTGGTGATTGAGAATTTCTTGAGATGGGTCAATCTGCAAACCCAAGAAGGAAAATCTCTGAGATCCCCACAGTAATCCATTTCAATCTCTTTTAGCTTGGGAAATATAGTGGAGATATAGTCCATTTCAATCTCCTTTGATTCAGGAGATTTAATGGGTTTACGGTCCATTTGGATATCTTTTGACACAGGAGATTTGAAGGGTTCATAGTCCATTGAATTCTCTTTTAGCTCAGAGAACTGATTGGAAACATTTGGATCAGAGCAAGACATGGATTGGTTGAGCTCACAGAATAATAAATATAGCTTTTGCAGGCTCTTCAATGGCTGCAAATTCATGTGAAAGGAAGGGATTATTATCCTCTCTAACCTGATCCTCTTGAGATGGGGCAGAGATTCAAATGGTGGCCAGCCACTTAGTTTGGCCAGACTGGTGCCATGGTTTGTGATGGATAGAAATTTCAGCTTCTCCATGGTCTTGATAAATGCAGGTATACAATAATTTGCAGAAGAGAAATTCAAGATCAGAGCCTCAGTTTTAGGGAATCGCATATCATACCCATCTGACTCACCCATATACCCTGCACATGGAAGACATCATTTTGGGTGAAAGAACTTTGTGAACTAGAAAAAGAAGCAAGAAAACAATATGAAAGATGCGAACCAACCTGTGTAGATGGAAACAATTTGGGCATCAAAAGGTTGATCTTTATGTTCGATCCAGCTCTTGGGAAGGCAGTTTTCTCTTTTTTCCATGATCAATCTCTTCTTTTGATTAATGGTACTGTCACAGTTAGCATGGAGGGCAAGTTCTCTGAGTATATCATGTTGAAGGACAAAAAGCCCACTAAAGCTGCCATCCTCTTCCCCAGCTTCTTTCCTAATAAATATAGTTCCGAGTTATTGCAGAACAATTTGGATACAACCATGAGCAAATATAGTCTGTTGATTTAGTCATCTAAAGTACAATTTTCATAATGCTTTTTTAATAAAACAATATACTTAATAAATTATTTCGCAAGTGTTTGTCCTAATAATGTCTTATGACCTATTCAATAATCTTGTAGTAAGATAAATAGACAAAAACAAATAGGACTGAAGCAGTGAAACACCCTCTGATTAACCGGAAAATCATGTATATCTATTTTCCAAAAAAGTGCTATTGGTAGAATACCAAAATAATAATCACCTTGTTTCTTAACAACAGGTCTTTACCAGAGATGTATGAAGAAGTACAAATCGAAGGAAAGAATCCACATCCTGAGCATATCAATTTTGATAGAAAAAGGAGCTTCACTTTTCAGTCAAACTAATCCAAGTTTCTATACAAGGTGTAAATAACCAAAATTCTCCTTAATATCATGAATGACAAGTGAAAAAGAAGTGTCATGCATTTCTCAAGGTCCTAAATGTCAACTAAAGGGGTTTTGCCTCTATGCATGCCACACCAAAGACTCCCAGAGTAGTAGAAGGTACACACCAGGAGCTCCAAGTCATTCCACCTAAATGCACAAATTGTCTAGGAAGTTTCCTTGAGGATACAATCCCAATTATTACAAGGCCACCTCAAATAGTAGTGTTTGTAGAGAGCATTTCTCAATGCAGTGTGATTAATCACTCTAAAAAATGGGGTTCATTAAAACAAACAACTGCACCTTCTAGCTAATGTTGAGATAAATCTGTGGTAGATTCAAAGGTTTCATAAAATGAACCAAGGTTAGATGATATGCCTGGAAATGTTTCAGCCTCATGTAAGTCAATAGTGATTCCCTCCAAAATGAAAAAGGGTTCATGAGAGGCTCCAACCACAAGAAACTCTAATGCCTAGCATATTTATGAGTATATTCATTCACATCATAGCCCATTCTACATGTTGTGGAAGAGGTGATGCTGGACTCAATGCATCCATATAGGTATAACACGTAGTAGCAATGAAATGAATCAGTAGACGTTCCAACAAAGTCTGTCTCCTACTCGCTCAATCTATGTTGCTCTCTTTTTTGTTCACTACCTCCAGTTAGGTCCTCCACTCTTTGGCTAAGTGGTCTGGCTTCTTTCAAATTACAGAACTAAACTAGAAATGTCAGCACAAGCTCCATCAGTAAACCTTCTCAATGAACTCTTCGTAGGAATATTGAATATTGATATATGGGAAAAAAAAAGGACACTAGTACGCTCCGACTATTTCAATGAAAAGAAATCACTTACTGCATCATACAATGAACCAAGCTCTCAATAGTGAGTATTTTACAGGTGATTTCACTCTAGTTGACCTTCTCATGTGATCACCCATACCATCAGAATCTCGATTTGTGTTTGTCTCATCGAATGATGCATTATCTAAACTTTCACTTGTAGGAATCATGTAAGGAATGATAGAGTCTCTCAATTCGGTACTTCTATGTGCTAAATGTCAAATTTGGTCAAATGGATGATTTTTCCCTTTAGGATCCATCTTCATTTATTCTGTAGTTTCCCTGCACTATATAAGACTCAAGGAACATGCGTCCATCTAATTTGCACGCTGAAAACGGCCAATCTGCCTCTCCCGTGTTTCGTGCACACCTCATCATAGTCTTATGCATGACTTTAGCCCTTGCTAATACTACTTGGGTTGCCATATCTGGCCTACAGGAGTACAATTACATGCATACTAGATTTTCAGATTAGTGTCAAAAAGAGCTTTCTTAGAGCCTAATTTTATCCTGTACCCGGGATGGAGGTTTCTGCCTCTACACATTCCACATCATTAAAACATAATTCTAGCAATCGTAATTTGATATGAGTACAACACAGACTGAACACAGTTTGGTACTAATATAATATACGAATCAAGTTCCAATAATACTAAGGGAACTGAGTCCTAATGGGTATGTAAAAGAAGGGTATTCCTCAAGTTTTGCGAGAATGAGGTAAACACTAGATCAAAAGTTAATAAACAAAGAGCCAATAGATCCACACATGTTGTTTTATTATGTAAAAGTCAGTAATAAAAAAACAAAAATAATTCTCACCCAAGAAGTAGGCATGACGTACCTTGCATTTTCTACCAACGATATAAGAGTTCGGCTTGAGAGTTCAAGTAGTGCAACATAGGCTTCATCTTCATCCATGCCATGAAGTTCCACCCACATGTCTATAAGTGAAGCTGCAGGAATTCTTTTATCTTCAGGGAAGGAACCCAAGTCTAGAAAGCAATCCTTGAGAGGTTTATTCAAGGATGTCAAGCTCGTGGAAAGGCAATGTAGTAGTTGCTGATGGGAGGCAAAGATGGAGCTTCCTTTTGACAACTCACGCTCAATGATCTTCCACTTTTTTGCAGGTTCATATCTCAAAGAGTGTCCAATTACTCTCAGAGCCAATGGCAAGCCCTTGCAATATTTCACTATCTGCAATTAAATGACATATAATTATATTGAAATAAGAACAAGACCATTGAAGTGAAGATAAATGTACTAATAAAAAGCTCAAGAATCTTTCAGATTTTCAAAATTTTCAGGAATGTTATTTTCACCTATTCAAATAATTCATGATCAAAACTCTTTAAAAATCACATGCACCCATATGCTACTTGGACCTTACAAAACCAGCAAACTTTATGCTACTCTTGGGAGTTGACAGACATTGGAAACAGCTAGATGTACAATGTCTACTATTCCTATCACAATCCAGACCTGAACATTGTAATGTTCAGCAGTTGAACATATCATCTCCTACATATTAAGAGGTCAATAAAAAGGAGGAGTTCAAAGAATGAAAAGAATAAGAAAAAATAGGACTTATGAGGATTTAAACAATAAATGTTTGATCTTCGTCATCGATAAACGATATCATAGATATTCCAACCTTTTTGTTGTTACCAACAAATGCATCTATAATTGTCTGAATATGATCTAGGAAAATAACAACGCAGAACTTGCTCATCATGGTTTAATTTTTCTAATTGGAAATAAGAAAATAAATTATTTTTTATAGATGTCCCTTACATTAATGTCAGGCTCATAATTCTTATGATGCATTGTTCAGTTAGAAGTTTCTAGTCATATCATTGTAACCCACTCTGAGATCACTCCATCCTAAATCTAGAAATTATAAAAGTATACCACACAATATCAATGATGCCATAAGCTGCAAACAAATATGTTTCTCCTTATACAAGCAGACAAATATGCTAATTGTTACATTTTCATTGCAAATAGATTACCTTCCAAACTAGATCCTCATCTATTCTCTCTGGGGTGGTTATGTTAGCAAAAGCCGAGTGACAGAAGAGAGACATTGCATCTTTGTCCTTAAGCAGCCCCAATTCATATCTGGAATCAAACGATCGAAGAACATTTCTCGATGTTACAAGTGTTTTACATCCTTTAGTCTTGTTAAATAGCAGGTCCTCAAGGACTGTATCAGACCAAACATCATCAAGCACCACTAAGATGGGTTCTGGCTCCTTCTTAGTTAGAATGTGTAATAGTTGCCTCCTTGCATCTTCAACATTTCGGAAGTCTGGTTTTCGACTGGTTAGTTGCTCATATAATCCATTCAGACTGCTCAATACATCAGGTGAGTTTGAAACGATAATGAAGAATATATTGTTTTTGAAGCGACCTGTCAAACCAAACATATAACACTGTTATGATAAGGTTGATTAAGTCCAATTCGTTTATTAGTAGCTTAACCCAAATTGAAAAGAGAAAAAGCATATTACCAATAAAAAAATTCACCTGATTCTGAGTATGAATTAATAAATGATATTGGCCAATTATAATAGAATGGATTAATAACAAAATAGAGATGTACATGTCCTGCAATTACCTATTGGGTTATCTGCGTCTTAAGAAGATGGAAGAAATGAACTCTTCTTCATTTTTCTTACGGCTTGTCTTTGCAAACTAAGAATACAAATTGGCTCATGGAAGTCTTGAGATTTCAAATAGATTTGGCATATAAAGGTCAAATCTCTAAGGTTATAAATGTGAAAACTCTTAGGTTCATTAAAAATATTTTCATAATTAATTACTTTGTGTGGTAGTTAATATCTGAGGTCATATAAAAATGACATCTTTATTATTACCAACTTAACCAACTGTCATTAAGACCATGCACGGCTGAAGCTAATACGTACTAAGTTTCGTTTTGTCTTCTGGCAGTTTGTAAACCCACATATAACTACCTCATTGAAATTTGTCTATGAATTCCAAAAAAAAAAAAACAAGAAAAAAGAAGAAGAAGATAGTAAGCATCATTACTGAGTAGAACTTAGTTGTATGAGGGGAAAAGAAGGAACTCGAAAAAAATCATCAGTGCATCATAAAAAGGGTAGCATCATGTCGATATTTAACTTAATAATGTTAAATAAGAAAACAAGTATGTAAAGCAAAGTCAACTGAAAAAAAAGAAAAGAAAAAAAAGGAATTCGAGGACCATACCTTTCACATCCTCCTCCCTACAGAGCATTGAGGCCAATGTTGTCTTACCATAGCCACCTTGAGCACAGATTCCAAGAACAGAAACATCATCTGCAAAGAACTTCGCCTTGAGCTCACGTAAAGAATCACTCAAGCCAACAGGACAATCGGGTAGTCCAGGAAGAGCATAGGAAGACTCGCTTGCAATACCCCGCCCATCAAGTAACCTCCTCATCTCCTTAAATTCTATCCTAAGTTGTTTTGTGTCCAAATTTGTATCAGCAGCCAAATTCAGATCAAAGAATCTGACCAGATACTCATCAAGCTCAATTAACTTCTTTCCATAACTATATTTCTTATGCACCTTCCAAAATCGAAGTTTCATACACTTGTATACCAACACTTTACCACTTTCTAGTCGGCTCTTCAACTCTTTAAAGTCAGCTGGTTCGCAATCAGTTAGTTGCAACCGTAACTGCTCAATGTCTTCGAGTTTTGGCACAATGTGTTGCAAAGTGGATTTCAGCTTTTCACATTGAGATTTGCATTCATAAACGATATTTGTAGCATCGAGCAAGGCTTTCAGTATTTCACCCGCTATAGCGCCTATAATTGCTCCACTGACTAAATCCATTGAAATTTTATCAACTAGAACTCAACACCAAGCAACTGGAATTGTAGACACGATTGGCACTGCGTATCATACAAAATCAGCGGTTACAATGTATGTTGAAAGAGGGACGTGCAAATTAAAAACTAATCTTAAGAAAAATGAATGATCTACACTAATATTAAAATAACGAATCAGCTGAAATTCGATCTACAAAGTGTAATCAAATGCACATTGTACACATGCTATTTCCTCAGTTAAAATAGGAACTAAAATTTAGTTGCAATCACAACTTAAATGAATGATCCACAGTAATCTTAAAATAAAGAATCCTGCATTGATCATAAGTTAAAATAGGAACTCAAATCTAGTCGCAATCACACTCTTCCTGCATCTATCATCCATAAAAATGAGTAGTTGACTACCTAGAAAATGTACTCAATAAAACCATAGTAATAGAAACAAAATTCAAACAAGATAGGAAAGTGTTTGAATTTTGTTTCTATTATATAGGACAAGTGAATTCAGCAACAAAATGTGTCAAAAAATGTTAAGAGAAAATTGTGTTTCTAAATATTTACAAAATAAGGTTCCAAATTTTGATTTATTTATTTTGTTTTCTTCTCTACTCAAAATCTATTTTAAAGTTGAGTATTTTAAAATAAGCTAGTGCTTTATGTGGAGAATAAGAAAGACCCATGTGAAGAGCGGGACAAGTGGCCATTGAGAGGCAACACTTGTCATTTCTCTCTCTACATGTGTCTCTCTATTTTTTCCTTTTGCAGCTATATTTATGGAAATGGTTTTGAGAGGCTAGGGTACCAAGCAAGAGCTCTCTTTCTCTCTCTAAAAACCTCTTTCTCTCTTATGCTTCCTTGTGAGTTGGGTGCAAGAGACGTGCCTCACATCTCTGTGAGAGCCCTCCAGTGTCACATGGACGTGCCTCTCGATTCCAGCACCGTGTTGCATCACAAAGAAGCTTTATCTTAACTCATTTTCAGCCACATTCTCTCTCTGGAAAAGCTATCAATCTGTGCTTACAAATTCACATGAATTTGGTGAGTTAATTTCAACTTTCTTCATCTTTTGCATCTAGAAATATTATAAGAAGGTTGAGAAATATTGTATGAGCAAGGGAAAAAGTATTGGACATTATCTTATATCGTTCGAATGATTTATGATGGGTGCATGCTTGCTAGAAATTTTATTAAGATTGCTTAGAAGACTTTATCAATAGTTGCAATTGATTTTTGGTTGAGATTATTTAGTGTATAAAAAAGTTAGTGATATTTGTACGTCCTCTTGAGTTCCAAAAATTTACAAGAACGTTTTTGTGGGTATTTTGCTAAGAATTGCATGCCATATATTTGTGGATATTTTGATTGAGTTCAAAATCTAACTTGCATATTGATATAGCTCTATTTACTTACAAAAATCTTAAAGATCTACTATATTTGGGCAAAAAAAAAAAACAAAGGAAAATATCTTTATACCTCTATTTTAGGTTTCATTTCACAATAGACCTAAGTTTTACAAGATATCGTGGGGTAAAAAAAAATTGTAGTTTTATTTCTTCTAACCCCCTAAGCTAATTTAAACATGCTTTTTTAGGTCAAACAAATCTAAAAAGACATGCCTTATCTAAAACCCACCCTACCACATTTCTCTCTATCCCCGCACCCCTTCTCCCTCTCTCCGTTTTGCACACAAAATTTTTTTTTTTGTTTAATTTCATTTGGTAATTTTTAATTTGAATTGGTAATTTTTATTTTGTAAGAAGATGTTGAAAGAAGGCAAGTAGGGAACAACTAGAGTAAATCTTTCCGACTATAACCAAAAAAAGGAAAGGGAAAAGAACAGATTTCATGCCACTAATAAAACCAAAAGATAGGGAACAACTAGAGTAAATCTTTCATTGACCCTAAATTCATGCGACTAACAAAACCAACAAACAGAAACAAAAAAACAAAAGCTTTCATGCAACTCCACAATTTTACTTCAGAGAGATCCAACAAAGCCTACAATTTTAAGTCAGAGAGATCCAACAAAGCCTACAATCAGAGAGATCCAACAAAGCCTACAATCAGAGAGATCCAACAAAGCCTACAATCAGAGAGATCCAACAAAGCCTACAATCAGAGATATCCAACAAAGGCTACAATCAGAGAGATCCAACAAAGCCTTGAAGTAATAAGCAAATGACATAAATGTAGATAATTCATCATAACGTGAAATTGTGCTTGCCAATTGAAAGCAACCAAAAGAAGAACCCCGATCCTTTCTTCAAATTTAAAGCCCCATCCGCTAATAATATCTTAAACTTTAGCACCCAATTCCAAGAAATCTTTAGAAACCCCAAAAGAAAAAAATCCTGTACAATGTGGATACATATTCACCGAAAATTCAATAGAAAAAAAGAACCCACTTCTCAAAAATACGAACTCTCTAAACTTTTTATCCGAAAAGGTACATGTAATACTCAGAAAAGCTGTACATACCTTTATTTCTATAGCGAATTGATTAACCTACTCTTTCCAGAACTCCTTCACGAGAGAGAGTAGATTCTAATTGCTCTGTTATCAGAGTTCAGCTCCGCCGGCGTTAGAGAGAGAGAGGACTCGTGAGACACAAGGATCACAGAGAAGGCATTTAGAGAGAGAGAGAGAGAAGCTACATGAGCGGGTGGAAGAAAGGGACTGCGAAGTTTAAACTTTAAAGTAACGATGTCAACGATATATTCGACTTTCTAGTGACTTCTCAACGCGTCAAATTTTAGGTATTCCCCCGGGGTCGACAGCCATATTCAAAACGGCTCGAGCTTCCACACTGTGTCCAAACCAGATGGATGTAAACATATTTGGGTCAACGATGGAAAGAGCGACTTGGGCCGGGTTCTCGAGTCTTTGACCACAGTAGCCAAGTCTAAGAATTATTAAAAAATTTAAAAATATTAAAAAAATTTTAAAAAAAATCTTTAATTTAAAATTAAACAAAACACGTTAAAAGAAATGGCGAAAAGATGGATACGAAAAAACCAATTTTTGAGGGGTATTTTAGAAATAGTTCAAAAAGAAAGAAAACAGTACAAAATAAATACTAATAGTCAGAATGTTTTTCGATTTTTGTGTAAAAAAATATATTACAAGTAAATTTTTGATTGTTTGAATTTTTATGATTTATTATTATTATTTTAAATCTTCGAGTTAGAAACCAAATTTGGGGATACTCGGGCTCACCAAGGGTAATGAGGTCGAGTTATTCCGACGAGTCTGAATCGACTTGCCTGAGTAATCAAACACCGGTCAAACTAGAATGGAATGTAATTTTCAAACCATGTGCTAATCATTATCTTCACGATAGTGCAGCAATCAGCAATGCTCATGGTACAAGACAGAAAAAACAGGAAGGAGCACTCCTAGATCCAAGAAAGACCAATCCTAACTCCTCAAACACAACAATCCCAAAACCGTCTCGTATTTGAATGCTGGAATTTGAGACTTCTGGCATTATAACACTTCGTGATGTTAAGCTGGAGTGCTATGTTGTTTTGGAAGCTGCAACATCTACCGACTTCCAAGACATCAACATTGAAATTTGGAAGTTGAGAGTTTCATATCCCAAATCCATGCTATACCACGGAAGTCGCAGCTATAGATGTTGGTCATAGATGATTTTTCCAGCAATCAAACACGCCTTTTGTTATTATTAGCACATAAACTCCAAGAGAAACCAATATTTGATATGTGGATCGAGAGAAAAGATTTGATTCTTCTCCAGCCGATTTGACTGGAAAAAGGGCGCTGATGTAATTTTTTGAATGCCAAAACCCTCAAAGGAATTTTGGATATTTGAAATAAAAAAAAATTATGGATTTTTTTTATATGGTTTCTGTCTCTAAAATGTTAATATACTTTCTCTTCCTAGCTCAAATTTCGAAATTGTTTTTTGAGATATAAAATTGTCACGTGCTTTCTTTCTTCAAAATTTAATATATTTTCTCTCTCTAAAATGTTAAGATACTCTCTCTCTAAAACTTTAAATTTGATATAGTTTCCTCTTTAATAATTTTGAGATAGTTTGTCTCTCTAAATTTTTTGAGGTAGTTTCTCTTTCTAAAATATGATATAGTTGTTCTCTCTAAAATTCTAAAATACTAAAATTTAAAATTTAAGATAATTTCTATCTAAATTTTTTGAAATAGTTTCTTTCCAAAAAAATTTAAGTATTCTCTCTTTCTCTCTCAAATTTGATATGGTTACTCTCTTAAATTTTAAGATGCTTTTCTCTCGAAAACTTAAAATTTGAGATATTTTCTCACTCTAAAATTTTGAGATAGTTTATCTATTTAAAATTTGAAATAGTCTCTCTAAAATTTTCATATATTTTCTCTCTCTAAAACTTAAAATTTGATAAAGTTTCTCTCTAAAAATTTGAAATAGTTTCACTCTCTAAATTTTTTGAAATAGTTTCTCTATCTAAAAATTGTAGGCACTTTATCTATTTAAAATTTGATATAGTTTCTCTATCTAAAATTTTAAGATATTTTCTCTCTCTAAAATATAAAATTTGCAATAGTTTCTTTCTCTAATTTTTTTGAGATAATTGCTCTTTCTAAATATTTTTAGGTAGTTTCTATCTCTAAAATTTTAATATTTTTTCTCTTTAAAGTTTATATTTGGAATAGTTTCTCTCTCTAAATAATTTAAGATATTTATATCTCTGGTCAAGGGTGCCTGGGTCGGATCCGGGATTGGACCCCCGCTTGAACAACTGCGTGGCCTCATGAGGGTTGCTTGGACGTTCTCGTGTGTCACTCTTGCGGATAGAGGTGATCAACTTGTGAGAGGATTTTAAAATGACAGTGAAAAGATAGACTAATGCACATACCTCACCGTGATTGGGTTTGTGGGATAAGCCCGGGCAAGCGCCCTCTTAAATCAATTAACGAAAACCCTCCGACTGTTCAGCAACTCGGTTTGGACACAGCTCTCTCTTGAACGTCAACACCTCATCTCATACTGTTGCTTCAATAAACTACAAATGAAGTTCGTGAAAAGTATGCTCCTCTTGAATGTACCTTTTAGCAAACAAGTGGCTCTGAATGGCTTAGAAATGGGTGAGAAGAAGGTCTCTCACAGCCTGAACACTATATGACCAGGTGATTAGAACAACAAGAGAATCAGAATCCCAAAGAAGACTAACTCAGGATGACTCCAACTCGAATAAATGGGTGCAAAAAAAGTTATGCCTCTTGCAACCTCAATTCACTGTACCAGGAGGTAGTTAGAGTATCGATCCCAGAATTAGGACTCTAAAATACTATATCAGAATGTTCCCTGATTAAGTGTTTTAGCGATGAGAGGAGAAATCAACAACGAAGATGAGATAAGAAGATGATGGAATAAAAGGATTAAAATGGGTGTAGTTTAAGGAAGAAAGAAGGGCAAGTGTGAATGACTAGGCGTGGGTGTAAAGGAGGAAAAAAAGGGTAAGAATATATAGATAAAAATGATATGGTGTGAAGGTGCAGGTGTGAGAGAGGGACGTGAATGGGTAATGGTGCAGGAAGTATGTGGGATGAGGTGCAGGTGGAGATGCATAGTTGAGAGCGGGCAGAGAGTACGTTGGGCTAAGCGCGGGCAGGAAGTGCGCTGCAGAGAGCGCAGGCAGGAGTGCGCGGTAGAGAGTGCGAGTACGAGTACGAGTGTGCGTGCAGAACGCGGGTAACAATGTGTGTGGAGAAAGCACGGGCAGGATTGCGCTGTAGAGAGCATGGGTACGAAAGCGCGGATAAGAGTGCACATGCAGAGAGTGCGGGGCAGGAGTGCACTGTAGAGAGGGTGGGTCGGAGTGCCCATGCAAAGAGCGTGGGCTGACGTGCACTGTAGAGAGCACGGGTAGGAATGCGCGTGCAGAGGGCGGGCAGAGATGCGCTTATAGAACGCGGGCAGAGGTGCGCTTGTAGAGCACGGGCAAGGAAAGAATAAGACGAAAGAAATAGAGGAGGAAGTCAGACCCACCTTAGGTGTAGGTCTGTAACTTCAGACAAGAAAAGACGAGAGAACAAGAGAAGAAAGGAAGACAAGGGGAACACAGGGCCCGCCTAAGCTCGTGTAGGGAAGATAGAGTGAGAAGAACAAGAGAGAAAGAAAGGAGAAGAGAGAAAGAAGAGAGTGGACTTATGGTGTGTGCAGATGAACCTCCGTGTGTTTCCTTGAATGCACATGGGAGAGAAAGGGTTAGGATTTAGGTGTAAGGTGTGGTGTACAGGATGAGGTGTAGGGTATGGTGGTATACGGGGTAATGTATGGTGTACGAAATGGACTATGATGAGTGGAGTAGGAAATGGGCTGTGGTGTATGGTGGTCTAGGGGTATTTTCCTCTCTAACAAGTGTTTCTCTCTCTTCTCCTTTTAGTCGTGAACTCGTGAGCAAAGCAAAGAGAATCAGCTAAAATTCTTTCCAAAATGTTCAAGTATTGCAAATGTATGGCAAAAATTAAAAGAGAGTTCAAAGACCCTAATACAAGTGACATGGGTTTCTTTATATAGAGCAACATTGAAACAAAGGTGTAATCCTCAAAAGTACTCAAAATTATCACAAAATAAATATTTATTAAATTAAAACAATAATCTCAAATTTGGATCAAAAAGGCGAAAATGCCCTTAAACACATTTCAACAAATGACAAAACCATCTCTCCATAAGGGGCCTATTGTCATTGTTAGTCTTTGGGAGCTTTTTCAGACACCAATAGTGGTAATTCAGGTGATCAAACGTCGGAGATTTGATGCTTGTGCTTTTTTTAGCGTTCTCATACCCTTTGATCGTCTTGAAACGGATTTTTTAGGAAGAACAAAAAATCCGGTCAAGTCCATAAACTTTGCAATTCTTCATCTATCAATGTAAGTTGATTTGTGATGTTCCAAGCCTTCATTTTTATCACAACTTGAAGATGCTATTGTCACAATCATTTTGCAGTAAATTTCGTCCGTTTTAGTCTTGATTTCAGCGTATTCCAAAATTGGTACGTTGCCGAAAAAGTATGCATTTCTTCGACCATGAAATTCATGTCTTCTAGTTTCTGATTGTGTGCAAAACTTGTACCAAACTGTAGCTCTTCGAAGCACGGTTGCAACAAACCCATATTTGTGACGATCCAACATCGGGATCTTGTGCTATGGCCTTCCAAAGAATTAGATATTCTCTTGTATAAATTTCGAATTTTAGTATTTCTGAGTACATATTATGTCTAGAAATTCTCTTATTTTGGGTCATGCCAAGATGCCTACCTTATATCAAAATGATCTGATCGTCAAGATCTAGCTCGTGTCTAAATTTGAGGTTAATTGGACTTAAAACGAGCGAGATATGATCATTTGAAAATCATCCCGAAATGAGAAAATACAGTTCACCAAAGCTGCACCGCAATAGTGTAAAGCATACCATTTTATTGTAAGTGATGCCCAAAAGGATCCCGGAGGGTTCGATTGAGTCCAAATTTGGTCCCTGGAGGTTTTTTGACGTTCCGGATGTAATGAAGTAGTTTTGATACTATTTTGAGACCTAAAAAATATGGCTGCAGTTATAGGGTCTATTTTCATTATGATAGGAAGTAGGTTTGAAAACCAAGTTTCATCCTGATCATATCAAAACTTATTTGAACACGATGAAACTTTGAAGCCATTCTGATACAGTTTTAGGGGTCGCCCAATTTTAGGCTTATTCCTGTAGTGTCCCCGTGGTCTGGCCGTGTCTTAGGTATTTGTGGGATCAGGTTACTACTGACTCTCTATTTATTTGCCTCGGAGATTTAAGTACGTAAAAAATGACGTATAACAATCTCTAAAACTTTTCTGGCAGCTTTTCTTTCTAAAATATATTATAGTTTCTCTCTCTAAAATTTTAAGAATATTTTTCCCTCTAAAACTTAAGATATTAGATAGTTAATCTCTCTAAAAATTTTACGATAGATTTTACCTCTAAAAATATATAGGTACTCCCTCTAAATTTTGATATAGTTTCTCCATCTACAATCTTTAGGTACTTTTCTCTCTTTAAAATTTGATATGGTTTCTCTCTTTAAAAGCTTAAGACTTTCTTTCTTTAAAAAGTAAAATTTGAGATAGTTTCTCTCTCTAAAATTTTTTAAGATACTTTTTCGATAAAAGCAATTAGCAAGCAACTTGATATATTCTTAACCCACCTATAGGCCCCATTGGAACACCCCTTTTGTTCAAGGTTTGGGGATAATTAGTAGACAACTTGATTTTAGAGTTGGACGCAGTTAGCATGCGGGCCAAGCCTGCACATTTAGAAAGACGTGCCCCTTAATAAATATCTTTTTGAGATGGATTTTTGGACTTAATTTTTAAAGATATGTAATCTCTAACATGAAGATCATGAATAAATAAAAATAAATAATTTTAAAAACTAAAAAAATAATTCTATTAAAAAAATATGCATAGTTTCAATTGTTTTTAGATAGATCACATATTTACATCCATCTTTAAGGTGGATGCTTTATGCTTTTGGACCGTATATGTAGAAATGCGGTCCAGCCCGCATAAAACAATTTTCTTTTAGAGTTTTAATAAAATGAAAATTAAATCGCAATCCTTCTATAAGTAATTAGGATATCCGAATCCTCTACTAACATCTTCCCTAAATTTTGTTCATCCCTCACTGTCAATAACAAAATTGATTTAGAACTCAAAATATAAGGTCCGAAAAATTGGTTAGTAACAATCACCCCCCACAAAGAGACGAAAAAAATGGCTCCAAATTATAATCAACTCAGCAACTGAAAATATTGATCCATACTCCCCCAATACTCCATATTTCATATCCCCTCCAGAGCTCAAAATCTTACTCCAAATTAATCCCACGCTATCTATACCATTAAAATCTTACTCCAAATTAATCCCACGCTATCACCATTGATCATACGGTGTCGTTTCTATAAGGTTGCAACCTTAAACAATAAGTAAGGTGCACCATCAAATTTTATCATAACATGTAATTTTGGTGCAAAAATTCTTAAGATTATCTTAAAATCTATTTTCATATCTAATTATATAATTTTAAACTAAAAAAGTGGTCAAAACCAAGTATATCTATAAACATATGAAAATCTTGAAAATGAACGGTCTAGATAATGTATTGCAAGCTGCACTATTTCTACGACTCAAAATATTTTTTTTCTATATTCATACATCTCGATGTCGAGATGATCACTTAGAAGTTTTTTAACACTAAAACAACATTTTCCGATAGATTTTTAAAATGCATATGTAATTTTACATTTTAAAATTGTAACTTTATATAAACTTTTTCTTTTATCACAGCCAAGAATGATAATTTAATCAATTATGACTGACTTCAATAGTCACTATAGTTCGGGTAGCTCGGGTCGGGTCTAGTCATTCTTCTTTATGGTACCTTCAACTTTTTCTGTTGGATGCACACCCAATACAAGTTCGTAGTAGTAGCTGAGAAACTTCAAGAACAACCGGACAACCTCGTCTCTTTCCATGGGTCACAGTGGGAAACCGGCATTAAAATAATAACTTTATTTATAAACCGCACTCGCCGTTCACTATAAAAGGAAGACCCAGTTTCTTTCTCCGCGGCAAAACCTTCATATATAGAAATACGGGTGGGCATCTTAATAAATCTAATTTCGAGATGGATTTTAAAACTTAATTTTTAAGAACATGTAATCTATGTAAATCTCTAACATGGAGATATATGAATAAATAAATAAATTTTAAAATTAAAAATAATAATTTTAATAAAAAAAGTTGAATTATTTTCATAAATATGAATAAATAAATATATTTTAAAAATTAAAAATAATAATTATAATAAAAAAATATTTAAACGGTTGATTTCCATTGATTTCATGAGTATAAATAAGTGAATAAAATTTTAAAACTAAAAATAATAATTAAAACTACAAATAAAACCAAGACCAATTATCCCCTTAAACTTTTTTTTTTTTCTCGCCTTTTTTTCCAAAACAAACAAATACCCTAAAAATAAAAAAAATTCCTTTTTAAATATAAATACCCTTCTAGACGCAAATCATTTTGACCAAACGCAAATCATTTTAACCAGATTTTTATGTTGACTTTTAAACCCTAATAGGGTATTGCCAAAACGCACCACCACATTATCAAAGCGCATGCAATTTACCGAACCAAAACTGTATACCCTTTGCATAATGCCGGATTCTTAAAATCCAATTTGCCTAGACCGCTTTTTGCAACTACCAGACCACCTTTTACACCTGCTTCATTGCACTTTATATAGTGCCGAAGCTACTGCCGCACCGCATTTTACTGTCGGACAACATATACACCACGTCCACTTATATAGTGCCGAAGCTACTGCCGCACCGCATTTTACTGCGGACAACATATACACCACGTCCAAAGCCTCTATTTTGATGGGATAGAAAGAAAAAAATGTCTAGTCAAAGTAAAAATACAGTAATTTACATCCAGCGCCCCTATTTTAAAATAAAATAATTTACATTTTTTTTTTTATTTGATTGAAAAGTATTTACATAAAAAATGTATTTTATAAAAAAAAAAAAATTTAAGTTGAAGGTAAACTACGTAGAAGTAATTTTGAGGTTTTATTTATTTATTTATTTATTTTTATAATTTTCCCTAGGGCCTCGTCATTCCCCACTAAACTACCCAAAAAAATTAATAAAGAAATTTTTTTTTTTCTTTCTCAAGGGTGGCAATGAGCTTAGCCTAGGCTAGGCCAAGGCATGGGCTTAACCTCGGTATGCCAAGTCTGGCCTTAGCCTCATTAAGCCTGAGCGTGGCCAAGAAAAAAATAAAAGAAAAAGCACTTACAAACAAAAAAAAAAAAAAAAAAAAAAACGGCTTGGGCGAGCAGGCCAGGCCTTCGTCTACTAGGTCCTCGGGCTACATTTTGTGCCTTGCCCTACCTTTTAAGGCCAAGGCAATCGGGCTACTCGACCCATTACTAGACTACAACGCCGCTGAAACCACAACTACCAGAATTAGAAAGTAGCTAAAAATCAGCAATCAATCTGCATAATGAGCATCTACACCTAGAGATTATAAAGAGCAAATCACTCTTTTATGGAAGGCTTAATTCTTTGCATACATCATTAAGTACAAGCTGCATAACCCTAGTAATACAAAGAAAAAAAAGGAAACAAAGCTCCCAGTCACAAGCAAAGAGAAAAAAGAATGAAGCAGAAAAAGTGATTTCTCATTCCACTTTTTTCTCCTTTTGGGACCTGTTCTTGATTTTTCTCAGAAACTTCTGGTCCACCATCTCGTATAATCTTCTTCCTCTTTCTATAATTGACTCCATGTATTTGTTGAGCAGGTGATTATATTTTACATACAAAGGCGGCAAGATTAATGCCAATAATAAACCTGCAATCCCATCATTCAATTGCAAACATGTTATTCCAATTTTTGTTGTTTCATTCAAGTCCAAACAAATATCAGCCACTGAATTGAAATAAGACGAAATACAGAGGTATGTGATTAAAAGATAGCTACACGCACAGAGATAATTTCCTCTTCCTCTAGAAGTGGGGCGGCAAACAGGTTGGTCCTACTAGTCCACCGACTTGGGCCGGGATCTGCACCTGGATATTGGACCCGATAAGGTCCGATTCGAGGTCCGTCCTAGACTTATTGGTTATTGGTCTGGGATCAAGGTCGGGTCAACCCTAAGCCTGTGCCCTTGTGTGTGGGCACATTTGTGTAAATATAAAAAAAGAAGAATAATTGATACCCCAAAATGAGCTTTGTGGATCCTCTCCCCATTGCTTCAATCTTAAATATTTTGACATCTCTCCCCATTGATTTAGTTTCAAATATTTCGACTTTTTTTACGGGTAAAGGCAAGAAAAAATAGATAGCATTTGAGTTGTGAGTGTAATACTAAAAGTATAGGGAAAAATGTCTAATTTCATTCAGGAGGATATCTATAATTTTCCCTATAAAAAAGTCCATCCTGATCCACATTCTGAATAGATTCAAAATTATAAGCTTCATGTCACTCTTATGACAATAGACATGGAAGAGTAACCCTTAGAATGAGATGAACTCGACCGGAAAAGGAAGAAAAGACTCACTAATGTAAACCGTTGTAAGCGTGTCGAACCAGCTACCCGTCACTGAGAGAAGCCCCAGACCAGCTACCACTCGGGCAAACCGCATATAGTCCCGCCTCGTACCCATTTCGTGCACCCATCGGGCAATGTTGTTAAGCCGCTCACTCAATACAGAAGCCATCTCAGCAGTCCACTGCTCTTTGATCTCCAATTTAGGTATTGGTGGCAACTCCCTATGAACCCAGCATTTGAAATTGAGATCATTTTCACCAATTCACCAATATAGCTAATATTTTCAATTGCATTTTGTTTGAAAAATATTTTCATAACTGCCTACATTTTTGTCGATTGAAATTTGATTAAATTCTATTATTAGTATGCATAATGAAGGATCTCTTTAAGATTTTATTTTAAATAAATTGAAAGCGTCAAGTACAAAAATGTGCAGAAAAATTCTAATGTAATTTGTTGAATTATACCTACTTGGTTAGTAGTCAATGGCGTACCTATTGAAAAGTGAGGCCATATGTGCAGAAACAAACACGACAGTGACAACGAACAGGGCGACCCACGAAACCATAGTGATGGGGGTGTATCCAACCTTGTCGAACAAAAGCCAGGTTAGAGTTGCAGCCACGAGTACAGAGAAACTAAGCTTCTTCCTTCTCCACAGGAATACATCAGCTGGTGTGACTGTTAATGTTGGCATACGTATGATCATATTAGAATATTTCATTTTCACTAGCTCCCAAATGATGATGTATAAACACACACAAAACTACATGAAAGGGTGTGGTTTGCATAAGGTTGAAACCTTAAAAACAATCCAATTAAGGCGCAGCTCTAAATTTTATCATAAATGTCATTTTGATATAAATGTTTTTTAGGATGGCTTGAGAATCTATTTTCGTCAGTAATTATAAAAAATTGAACCCTAAAAAATGATCCAAATCAAGTAGAAGGCTTGCTTTTCGCTTCATTTCCATCAGTAGTTCAAATCGGTTCTCTCGTGGTGGTTAAACAATGGAAGTACAGACTTCCCCTGCTAAGCTCTTGTGTGAGAGCTTTGCTTTACCCACTAATCACTCTCAAAACACACATTTTTTAACTGTTTTAAGTATAATCATGTATATTTTCATGGGTATTTTGAAATTAAACAAAAATTTTAAAATATCAAATAGCCGATCTCTCACGTGTAGTTTGATACATTTCCCATCATGCACTATGATTTAAGGTGACATTAGTTAGCTTTTCACTACTTTTATAAGCAGGTTCTAAGAATAAACGCAAATATCAAAGTCCAGTGTCCATGTGACAAAGCTAATAATTTAAGGATAGTGCTTCAGAAGTGACACCCATGCAAATTATTAATACAAATACAGTCTCATTAGTAATATGAGCATGAATGCTCCTGCAGGAGCGGAGTGTACATCTATTCGGTCGGTCAGAAGAACTACTTCATATTCTTTTTCGATATGAAGATTTGAAAACCACCTAAGATAACTGGTTAGACTATTCTCAAAAAGAAAAAAAAAATTACATTTTAAGTTCTATAATACTTAGATCGTACCGTCTAAAAATTAGATGGTGTCTAATTAACATTGAGACATTATGGGTGCAATTCGATATTTTTCTATTATTGTAATTTTGGGGTTCTAAATTTAATTCTAGATGAGGTTTTACCCAAGCGAGTATATAGACAGTAAACACCCGCATGAGCATAATATTATTTACTTAACTATAAAGAGCGACACAAACCGAGCAATTTAGAATCTCAGCTTTGCTCCTCTACACTGAAAATCCCAGATATACACCTGATTTGATTTTTCATGCACAATATGATACGTGAATACAAGGGAAAGCTCTCTGTGTTCCCCCTACCCCAAAGACATAGAAGTCCTATACTCCCCCTACCATCCAGCCGTCCAATTTTTTTTTTTTAATCACCAGAGACTCTCACGATCTGATCTTGGATCAGACGTTTCAAAATTTTTTTTTTAAATTTTTTTAATACAATTTTTCTGAATATGAACTTTGATTCGTGCCATCTTCTCATTGAGGCACGCTTATAAAAAAACTAATAATAATAATTTTTCATTGGGACACACCTATAAAAAAAAAAAAAATATTAACAATAATTTTTTATAAAATATAATGATCAAAATACCTTTTAAAAATTTAAAAATATTTTGATCATTTTATTTTATTGTAAATAGTTTTCTATATTTTTCATTAGTGCGAGTTTAATAGAAAAATGGACGTCCAATTGGGGTCAAGTCAAGCACGGTAAAGACTCAATCATAAGCATCAGCACAAACATGACACACGGTTAGGCTCAGAATGAATCCTAACCGCCGGCTTATAAGCACGAGTTATAGATCCAGGGGGGGTAGGCTTAGAATGAATCCTAACCGCCGGCTTTTGAGCATGAAATACGGGTCCAGGCGTACATAATACATGGATGCATCATAAACCCTTAATTATAGAGATGATAGAAATAGGTAGGGTCGGGTTTTACCATTATGTGGTGGATGGGTGCGGTGGGCATCTTGAGGAGATGGAGAAGTGGGTGCATCTCCACCAGTTCCAGTTGGGGGAGTGGGTTTTTCCTGTTCAAACTGTGGTTCAGACATGGAGAGAGAGATTAGGATGAGACACTGATTTTAGATATAGAGAGAGAGAGAGTTGATTTTAGAGAGGGAGAATGACTGACAGATTTTAGAGAGAGAAAGAGAGAGAGGAGAGAACTCAGGAACAGGTGGTTCTTTTTGGGTCTTGGGTCCTCAGGGTTAAAGGGTTTTAGGGAAGGGTGATGTGTCTGAACTTGTGTCTGTTGATGACACGTGTGTGCTATTCTTGACACGTGGAGTGAACAAAAGGGCACGTTGAAGGATAGCTAAAGGCCACCAGTCGGTTCGACTGTCAACGATAAGATAAATATGTTGAAGGATCTGGTTTCTATGCGGCCCGGCCCGCATCTTAATAAATTTATTTTTGAAATGGGTTAAAGACATGTCATCTCTAACCTGAAGATCATGAATATGAAAAAACAAATAAATTTTAAAAATTAAAAATAATAATTCTAGTAAAAAAACATTTAGATGGTTAGTTTCCATTATTTTTAAACAGAATACATGAAGATGGATGCTTAGCACTTTCTGGAACACATATGTAGAAATGCGGATCAACCCGTCTGAAACAATTTTCCTATAGGGAAGGACCTGGTTTCTACGTGGTCAAGTCCGCATATGTAGAAATATGGGCTTCTTAATAAATTTATTTTTGAAATGGATTTTAAGATTTAATTTTTAAAGACATGTAATCTCTAACATGAAAATCATGAATATAAAAAAATAAATAAATTTTAAAAACTAAAAATAATAATTATTGAGCATGTGTAGTAAGTTCCGAACTTTCGGAGGGAGCATATTGTGTATGTACTCCTTGGGTAGAAGAATTATTTGGCAGTGTATGTACTTGGGCAGAGAACGTTTTCATTGTACTTTTTTTTTTGGTAAGTATTTCTACTATATTTATCTAAAAGCCTCTTAATGTTAAAATCCATCACACAGTCACACCCATCACTGTTCAAAATCTATCACACGATCATTGTTGTTGAGAGTGTTTGAATTTTAATAATTTATTTAAAAATTATATTAACTTGAAAGTTTTTGGTGTGCATGCCTTTGCGAGGCACGTCTGAATAAAATAAAGAAACATAATTTGAGTGATAAAATGACCAAAATACCTTTACAAATATTTTAAGAGTATTGTCATCTCTTTTTTGGATAATTTTTTAAAATATTTTATTTTAATATGAGTTGGTCAAATGTATACACGTCCCAAATTTTAAATAAATATGCTTTATAAAAAATTTATTAGAATTCAAACACTATCAAACAACTATGACCGGAACTTATAGATGTTTGTAAAGCGTTTTTTACGTTTTGATTATAAGATTTTAGAAACCACCTTAAAATTCCTAAAAGATTGTTTTTAAGGGAAAATTTGAGTTTCGGATTTTCTAATGAGTGAATTGATATTTTTACGAATCGAACATTCAATGTCCGAGCTACACGTTCATTGGAAAAATGACTCAAAAAGCTCCGTTTACTATTTTGGACAACATTTACTATTTTGATTTTATTTTATCGAATTCAAATTTTGATTGTTCATATTTCTCGCCATCAAATACATGTATAGAACAAAAAAAAATAGTTCAAAAAAAAATAAAATAACAAATAAATATCCCTAAAAATTTTAAAGGTATATATGCTTTCAACTTATTTGATTTGTATTTTTTCTAATATATAATGGTGAGAAGTATAGGTAAAATTTATAAAAAATGATATTATGATATATACTATAGCTTCTCACTCGTTCGATCAAGATCCAATAATTGAGAATTTTTTAGTTAAAAAAAACAATTCAGACATCCAATATCCAAACTACTCTTTGGGTCTTTAAAGAAAGAATAATTGTTTTATGCGGGCTGGACTGCATTTATACAATAGGTGGTCTAGAGGTATAGAGCATGCATCTGAAAAATAGATACAAATAGGTGGTCCATTTAAAAACAATTGTAACTAGCAGTTCAAATGTTTTTTTAATATAATTAGGATTATGTTAGGGTGCTCACACTATGAAGTATTTTATCATTGTACTCAATAATTTTAGACACTTATATATCCTTATTTTGGATCTGAAGAATTTTAATCATAAGGGTATTTTTTGTCATTAGAAGGGGTGTGACGTCATCCACATGTAGCATGACATCACTCATATGGAGCATTAAATGCCACTAGTATATCCATGTAGATGACATCACATCCTATGTGGGTAATGTCATATCCTATATGGGTGATGTCATACCCCTCCAAATGACCAAAACTATTGTTACTAAAAAAATACTTTATGTATAAAACAAGGATATATATGTGTCCAAAATTGTTAAGTACAATGATAAATTACTCTATGGTTTGAGTACCATAACATATTATTTTTAGTTTTTAAATTTTATTTAGTTTTTCATATTCATGATCTCCATGTTAAAGAAAATATATTCGCTAAAAATTAGGATCAAATTATATTTCAAAACTATATTTGTTGCCAAACATGCATTTCTACATGTGCGGGCATGGCCGCATGCTAACTGCGTCCTTAAAGAAAAAAAAGTAAAGAAAAAGAAAAGTGAGGCAATTTGGACATTGAATGTTGGGAATTGGATGCAGAGTGGACAAATTTATCTGGGACTCTCAACTTCTGATTCTAGGCTTCATAATTCAGTATGGGATAGAGGGATTCAACGTGCTCAGACTAAACTAGATCTTTGGAAGCCAAAATATTTATCACTAGGGGAAAGAGTAACTTTGGTTAAATCTTGCTTGTCAAATTTACCTATTTATCAGATGTCTCTGTGAAGATGCCATCATGTGTTGTTAAAGAAAATTGAGAAGATGATGCGGTGTTTTTTAAGGAGGTTTTCTGAAGAGAATAGGAAATATCATTTGTTGAGATGGGATAGAGTGTGTAACCCTAAAAGTGAAGGAGGTCTTGGTATTCGAAGAGTATCTCTAATGAATGAGGCATTGCTAACGAAGTGGTGGTGGCGGAGTTTGTTGTGTAAGGATCAGCTTTGGTATAAGGTCGTACTTGCGAAATATAGTAGTGACAAATTTGGAGTGTGGATTGGAGGTGGCAGAAGGAGTGCATCTGGAGCTATTTTTTGGAAGGATATTTTCTTGTTCAAAGCATACCTGCATAGAGATATTAGGTGGTGTGGGAAATGGTGCTAAAGTTCCTTTTGGCATAAAAAATGGTTAGGGGATAGACCTTTGAAGTCTTCTTTCCCTTATCTGTTTGCAAATGCCTCCTTTTCAAATTCTTTGTTATATGAATCTTATCAGTTAGAAGGCAGGTGGCATTGAATGTCTAGTTTCTATATAATAGAGGTAATGATTTTTTTATAGAGCAGGTTTCGAGTTTATTTTTATCTCTACAAGAGGTGGTACTGTGTGATTCTATTGAAGATGAAGTGATTTGGGAGCATAGTAAAGATGACTTCTTTTCGGTTAAAAGAATGTATTATCTGTTGTTTCACGATCGCCATAAATGGTCGCTGCCTCAAATTTCACAAATATGGAAGTGGCCTATTCCCCACATAGTTCAATGCTTTATTTGGTTGGTAGCGCAAAATAAAGTTTTGACTGTGGATAATCTCATTAAAAGAAGAAAAATGTTGCCAAATGTCAGCCTTGTGTGTAAGGAGGATGGGGAGTCAATCTGGCATTTGCTAATCCATTGTCGATATGCAACATATATTTGGAATCATTTCTTTGGGATTTTAGGTTTAATTATGGCTCTTCCTTAAAGTGTTTTGGGTATCATTTTTCAGCTGGCTTTTTTGGGTTGACCAAAATTGGGGGCAAGGATCTGGCAAATAATGAAAGGAGCTGTATGCTAGGAGGTATAGAAAGAACGAAATAGGCATACTTTTGAAGGAGTTGGTCTATCATGTGATTGTCTGATTCAACATATTTTTCAAACGATTTGGTGTTGGTTGTTTGTCATGGAGGAAGGGAGAGGTATTAGTGAGATTGATGTGCGAATTAATTTAGCCTATCTGATGGTCTTTAAGAGGGTAAAGAGTAGACTAGTTGGTCATTGGATACCTCCGCTACAAGGCTGGTTAAAGTTAAACTTTGATGACAGCTCCCTTGATAACCCGGGTACTGTAGGGATAGGAGGTGTGGTACGTGATTGGAATGGATCTATTGTTCTTGCCTATGCTGGACCTATCGAAATTGCCACAGCCAACATGACAGAGTTTAGTGCCTTGTTCAAAGGACTACTCATTATTAAAGCCATGAATTTGGGTCATGATATTGTAGTCGAAGGTGTCTCCCAAAATGTGATTAGGTGGTGCAACAAAGATCAACGAGTTCCTTGGCTGTTGCATTCGATTTGGGTCCAAGTGGTGAAACTACAAAGAGAGTGATCTTTATCATTCCATCACGTCTATAGAGAATTGAATAGTCTTGCGGATGGTTTGGCTAAAAGAGGTGTGGCTATGGAGTCTTTTTCTATTTGAATGATGTAATGAGTGAGTGATGTAACTGATTTTTAGTCATCGATAATAAGTGATAACACTTGTCAAAAAAAAAAAATGTCAGGAATGGAATGGTCGTACTCGTCATTTTTTAGAATGAAAAACAATTCCGTGAAATACAAAAAGGCAAAAGTTTATATTAGGTTGCAACTTTAAAATGTAGAAATACGGATGCACGTAAAAAATCCATAAGAAAAAGTTATTTTAATGTTGAAAAACCATGTGATGGATTATCTCCACATCAAAATATATTACTGTGAAAAATAAAAAGATTTTGAGTCTCAGAAAATAGTGCACCTTATAACATATTATCTACACCGTCCATTTTCAAGATTTTCATATGTTTATGGATCTACTTTATTTTAATCATTTTTGGAATTTAAAATTTATAATTAGACATAAAAATAGATTTTGAGATAATCCTAAGAACATTTTACATCAAAATTATATATTATGATAAAATTTGAAGGTGGACCTTGGATTGTTTAAGGTTGCAACCTTATGGAACCACACCCATACAAAAATGATGAGGTTTCTAGGAGTCAACCGACTCATACTATACATATGCAGGCCCCCTCATAAACCATCTTAAAAATGGATTTTCAATCTAAAATTTTAGAGAGTCATGATAATTTTTTATATTTAAAATGTGATTTATTTTAAAAAAATTTTGTGTAAAACTTGTGAGTTTTTTGACGTCTATGTTACATATGGATGTCGGTGAGTCATCGGGCTCTTGCACCCGCTGACTCATGAAAGGCTTTTCCATGCAAAAAAACATCAATTTAAACATCCAATGCGCCAACCAGTATTGAACTCCATAGAAGAAAAAGCGGTTAAGAGTTCACACATTGAATATCCAAACAAGAAATAAGATAAAAATAAAAATATCCTAACACTAAAAGCACTTAATGTATAATAAAAAAAATAAAATTGTTTTCTTAATTTTGAAGATTAAATGGGACTTAGTGTAAATTCCCTCAATTCTTTTTGTCTAGATTTACTTGTCATTAAATTCAAAATAGAAAAGATGTTCGTGATCCATAGGACCATAGACTAAGATTGATAGTTATGTGCCATCACCGTCCAATACAGGAGGACGAGGGATTGGGCAGACCACTTGGGTCATCACCGTCTGATACGAATGCCTTTTTTTGTTTTGTTTTGATGAATTATAACAATTTCATTCCACCAAATCAGTCAAATGCATCACTTTTCACGGGATAAAACTCAGGGTTACACACAAAAAACGAAAAAAACAAATCAACAATACTAAAAATTGATTTCTCAGATGTAACTCCTGCTTTTGCCAATGGATCAACTTACATATTGCATTCACAAAACACATGCACAAAAAGATACCACCATTTGCTGACACCAATCCAGAACTTCACGAATCAACTCATGAAGGAAACATCGCTTCCTTAGATATCCACTTTATTACATCCATAGAATCACCCTCCACCAAATTACTCCTACGAAGCGTTGAGGTAGGCATTCGAATCGGACGTTCTATGAATGTGGAGGCGTGCACTCTCTACCCAAGGATAAAGTCTCTCTCTAGATGGGGGCTTTGCTCCTCTCTCTTAGATGGCTGGGGGGGCTGACTGGCAGCTAGCTAGGGGTGGTAATGGACTCGAACCCGACTCGGGTTCCGTTGGGTATACCCAACTTGGGCGTATAGGTCCAATATTCAGACCCGACGGGTCGGTTCGGGTCCAACACCTAGACCCGAACACTATTCGGCTCTAGGTTCAGGTCCGGTTGGACTCAACCTGTACCTGTAAACTGTTGAAGATAAAATACTTCACGCCCTATTAGTTTGGGTGTGTTGAGGATCGTATAAAATTAGAACTCGTAGTTATCTTTAGCTATTGATCGACAAATCAAACAACTTAAAATCTAACGGCGGGTGACTTAGACCTTGTTGCCATGGGTATACTATGGTAAAAAAAAGGCAAAAAAAAAAAAAAAAAAAAAAAAGAAGCTCATAGTGAAGGTGGCAATGGATCCCATCAGACCCAAGAACCAACGTGTATAGGTACGAGTCCAACTTGTAGACTGGGTCCATGTCCAAAACCTAGACCTAAATACTATTCAGGTATAGGTCCGGGTCCAGCAGACCCTACCCTTACCCGTTGCCCATGATTTCCTTGGAAAATGGTCTGAGAGCGAGCCGAGGTAACTAAATCCAACCACGTATTTCATAAAGAAATGGCACATGAAACTGCTGCATTTAAGTTTTTCATTACAATGGAGGAGAACCCATATATCATTGCCCAGTAAAAATCACACTCTTATGAGAGAGAAAACCATAATGGATGCATATATGTGTGTAATGGTGACAGCAAGAAAAACCACCAAAGAAAATATGCATATACTAGTGCTGTGAAAGTCCTTGCTACAAGAACCTATGTGGGATCATCTCTTTCACATTGAGAGGCAGTCTGTAGAACTCTTCATTCCTCATGTCTCCTTTCTTACACTGGAAAGGAAGCCACCATGGAACTCCTCTATCTCTGCAAGAATTCACCATGTCCAATGTGTTGTCGACGAGTGTCGCAACCATGAGTGCCACAGTAGGGCCCGAAGAGAAGATGGTATTCAATATGTCGTTGAACTGTAAAAACAGGGATTACCCATGATTCATTGATGATTCCATTTGGTTATTCTTTGAATTTATAAAATTGAAGTAACTTTAATAAAAAAGAGAGAGAGAAGTTTAGTTCTTGTAGCTTACCCAACTGGCATTTGTTTTGACCGGTCCATGTCCAGCTGAAGCAGAGAATTCGTTGAAGTATTGAGGAACGGAGATGCCCAAGAAGAGGGAGAGGCCCAAGATGTACATGTTCCTCATTGAATTGTTGTTTGTAAATTGAATAAATGAGACACCACTAGCAGCTACAAAGGGATCGAATATTCTAGTAAAGATTAAAGAACACCATTGCATTCATGATTCATACATTGTATAAATTTTTTATGGTTCTCTATGCATATACGCGTACATGCTAACATGCGTTTGCATAGAGAACCTTAAAAAATTCACACACATATATATATATATATATCAAGAGAGAGAGAGAGAGAGAGAGAGAGAGAGAGAGAGAGAGAGAGAGAGAGAGAGAGAGTAAGAGTAGTAGTACGTACGTTACGTACGTACGTACGTACGTAACGTAACGTAACGAACGAACGAACGAACGACGAACGTACGACGACGTAGTACGAG